GAGAACACTCGCCTCGGTAGTATTTGTATTGTTATCTTTGTTAAAACCGAGATAAAATATCCCATAGCTTGATGATGGAAGATTCACTCGAAAGTTTCATCTATGTTTGGTAGTAGTAGTACTTGCTCCCTACTCACTAGTATATATGATAATATATATAACATGAAATGGAAAAGTACTTCCGAGTATCTTCACCCGCCAACCTGAATATTATAAAGAAGGTCATTCGAAGTATACTAGTAGTCGATGCAATCCACATCATCCACGCATATAACACACTACTAACATATATACATACACACACCAATATCCAATACTACTTACCCTGTCTACCATCGTCATGATCACTATAGTACATAAGTACTATCCCCACTAACTAACAACCACGATAAACCAAAGTTACACCCGCAGCGTACTTAACCACTCACTACGATAGTATACTACACAGCAATCATTTCTACTAGTAGTACTCTAAATGACACTAATGCATTGCACAGCCACACACACACACAACACATCCTTATCCACTACCCACCAATCCCCTAACAGATCAATCCATCCTTTTTCCCCAATGAAGTCAAAGATAAGTCAATACTCATACCCGTGTCTCATCACACTACTACTACCAACCCTGCAGCTAAATTATCTGTCTCGGTGGTAGTAATGATAGGCAGCAGGAAAAATCAGGGCAATCAGGGTAACTTCTGTCTTACATCAGTACCTACCTAACTCACTGTTTACCCCGCATTACTTACTCACACCTTAATATATAGGGATATAGTTATTCTGCCTTGATAGGCAGCAGTCCTTGCCACTGCATGCATGCATGAATAACTATCGACGTGGATTGGTCAATGGGACATGAGTCGCGATGCCGGAGGTTGGCTGCAGAATCTGAGTCAGTCTAACTAGTTAGTTAGGATTAATAACTAGCTAGCCTAACCACTTTAGATTATCCAAGGCTAGTATAGTATAGGTATAATAGAGTATATTATTGGACATGTGATAACTGGGTTTTGGTATATTAATAGTCAATTGTATTGAGTGTTTCTTAGCAAAAAGCCCATCCGATCATGCAATATGCGATCCTGGTTGTAGCCACGGCATTCAACAAAAAAACATTCGAGTATGCGCCTTCTCATGATTATCAAGAAACATACAGGAGAAGACTTTGATAGCCAGATGATAGATAGATGGTTGACAAAGGGAAAATAGAACATTGGAAGACACATAAAGTAACAAACGCACTTCATAAGTGGAAATCTAAAATCACGCTGATGAGAAAGCTCATAATATCCCAACCCCCACTTTTAACCATGCCATGACAGAAACAGACCCCAAATCAAGAAGCAAGAAGAGAATGATGCAGAAGATGTGAAAAAAAGGGGACGGAAAAGAAAAGCGCTATAATACACGGAGTGAGTATTCTATACCAGTGGCAGGTAAGAGATGATCGCGTCCTAGGAAAGCAAATTCTTCAAAGACGGACTCGCACTAGCCCCTGACCCGCCATTCGTCCCGCTGGCTGTGGTATGCCTGGCAGCACTAGGTATTACCGGTGTGTCCTCGGGCTTAACCGGAGGCGTCGGTCCTCGTGGATCCATATGTGCCTGCGAGACGGGCGGCGACTGTGCTGGCGCTCCAAGCACGCGATCCACAGAGTAGACACGTGGCGGGGGCCCACCATTCAATGCGCTTAGCGAATGTTGAGGCGAGTGCCGGACCATAGTCGCCTGTACATCTGGAGGCGATGCCGACGGAGCATACGGGCGAGGGCCTGCCGCGTGAGAAAGATGAGGCGAGGGCATCGAAACAGGTCCGTACGGGCTCTGGTGCGTCGGGAATGGCTGCGGCGGAGCGTGGGATCCCGGAGGGTAATGGGATAGCGGTGGAGCATGGTGAGAAGGGGTGGGCGGGAATCCGTTCATATGGTGTGCAGGCGGTGGTGGCGGCGGCGGTGCTGCTGCCCGATAGCCAGGAACAGGTAATCCGTTGCGCAGCTTGTTGTCACCGAAATCAGCCGGACGCTGTTCATAGCTGGGGTGCCACTCAGAGCCGCCGTGAGGGAGACCGATCGGTCTGGGAAGCACTCCAGACTGTGGCGGGTGCCCATGGTGGTTGCCAAACGGGTGGTTGTGGTACTCGGTGAGCTTAGGCGCAGGCAGGACCGGCCGTTGTGCCGAGTAGGGAGATGGGCGAGGCTCGGGCGATGGCTGGGCCTGGGTCACCGGCTTCTTAAGATGGCACTTGTGGCATTCGTACAAAGTCTGCGGCCCTTCGCTGTTGATTGCCGACAAAGCAGTCTTCTCTGGACTGTACTCCCCGTTCAGGCGTGGCAAAGCATGCTGGGATGGAGTCTGATGGGGATATGGAGGGCTTGCAGAGGCTGTGCTGAACCGAGATCCCACAGGATCATTCAAACCAACCCCGTTAAGCAGAGGCGTCCGGTGGTCGACTCCGGTCGTGCGTCGCGACTTGTCTAGGGGCCACCATCTGGGGCTGAAGGAACTAGAGCAGCGCGCACACTTCCTCGTCACATCATTATCAGCAACAGGCCGAGGGGCATGGTTCTCAGAATCGATCACCATCTCATCCGGAGCATCTTCTGGCGTTTTGTGACCGTCCTTTGGCGTTGTCGAAGCTGCGGGAGCTGCGGGAGCCGCCGAGACTACCGGGGGTGCCGTGACGCTGTGGACAGACGAAACTCGGCGGTTCGCGGAAGGTGTCGCAGTCTGATGTGAGACATTGATCAACTGTTGCACATATGCCGCTTTTCTAATAGTTCCCGTCAAGGTCAGGTCGGCTTGTTTGTATGCCTCGGCATACCGCCGCAAAGCGTTGACACCCTCTTCCTCTGTAGGCTCGCCGATTTCATGGATTGTCGCCGACACTGGATGATGAGGACACCAGATCCCCGCCGATGCCGACCCAACCTCTTCTCCCAGCCGTACGCTGTTCACGGTATCCCTTCTGGAGCTTTTGATAGGGGTAATGTCAAACCCAAACTTGTACTGCGCTTGGAATGCACAACCCACGTGGAAGCGGGCGTTGCAGTTGTTGAAATGGCACGGCACACATGCACCTTTATCGCTCTTGCAGATCTTGCACACATCACGCCACTTGTCCCTTGGAATCAAACCGAACCCCTCAGCTGGCTCGAGCTCCTTTGCGTTGCCGAATTTGATCTCCGGCGTCCACATGGCACACGTGACGTGCACCCAGTTGTTGCCGGCCGTTCGCTTCAACGGCTCTCGAGGACCGATGGGTTTGCCCACGGCCTCTTGCCTTTGTCGGTACAACTTGATAGCCTCGTTGACCATTTCCTTTTCCAGCCGCTCCTTCTCCCGGTCTCGTTCGGTCTTCTTCTTGTGCGTCGACCTCGGCGCCTCCATCAATTCATGCTCCGTCCAGGTCACCGGACACAAGACACATTCATACGTAGTCGAGATCATGGGGTCGCGATCGTTCGAGCACATATCGCAAAGCCACTTGACGCAGTTACGCGACGGGCTGACACCGTAGCAGCTTCTGTGCACGGTCAGGCGGCAGTCTCTGCAAGACAGATGCTGGTCGCCTTCCGGCTCCATCTTGTTGCAGATGGAGCATGGGAGCGTTTTAGCCCTCGGGGGATCAGGAACGATTGGTGGAGGTTCAGGGATGCGGTCTGCAGCGACTTTCTTCTTTGGCGCTGGCTCCACGGAAGTGGCTGTCGATGTCGCGGCGCTGTCTTTCTCGGTGGTCCGCCCTCCCTTCTTCTTCGTAGTCTCCTGCTGCACCTGTGGGTTAGCGTTCACCGGAACGCCGATGGAAGCTGCAGTCGCAGCAGTCGCACTGTTGATACTGATGGGAGTTTCGGTGGAGACGAGGAGTTGAGTCAGGAGCTCCTCATCTACTCGGCGACGCCATGACTTGTTACCACTTTGCGCGATCTTCTTGGCCACTTCATCGACACTCTCCCACTGAATACCGTACTTCCTCCATAGCAAAGCACAGCGCAGGCACAGGGCCACAGTCAGCTGTGATCCCTTGTCCCTTTGCTTTGACGCAGGCTCGCTCGAGGTGGTAGTTCCGGGCGCAGTACCTGGGGCGCGCCGCCACTGACGGGAGGTTCGCGTCGAGCAGAACTTGCACTGGAAGCCACGCTTCTTTTCGGCGGCCTTGTCGTTATCGAACGCCGAGTCATCATGATCGTCGGCCACATCGTCCACTAGCTTCGCCGCACTGCTTCGTTTCGCTTCCTTCTTGCCCCGTCTGCCTTCATAAGCACCCCAGATCTGACGACCGCGCGGCGTTTTCTTCCACATGTAGTAGAATCTCACAATCTGGTAGTGAGGCACGGTACCCACGTACTTGGTAATATTCCGCCACTCCGACCCAAACTTGGAAACTGCCTGTTCGAAGAGTTTCAGTTCTTCTGGGCGTAGATGCGGCTCTTTGAGATCCTTGTATTTGTTCATCGTCTTCAACTTTGCCAGGGCCGCGTCGGCGTCGAAGCTATTAGAGTAAAGGAGTTCGAGAGCCTTGTCGAGGAAATTAGTGGCATACTTTTCTTCCCCAAGTTGAGGGGCCAACGCCTTGGCGCGCTCCATGTAATCGTCCACAAACTTTTCCCGTTCGGCGGGGCTGAGATGGGAACCAGGCGCGTCGTCTTCGCCCCGAGAGGATGGAACCTGGTCTGCAGTGGGCATCTTGAACATTAGCTCTGCAGTGCGGACTTGCTTCCCGCCCACGGTGACCGGTTCATCTTCGCCGCGCCGTACATATCCCAGGGGCTCGTCCATGACCCACTTCGGTCGGTTGGCCTTCTCCTGTTTGGCGGCTTCGATGGCGGCCACAGTTTCCTTGGTAAGTTTCGAATCCTTGCGACCTCCAGATCCTCGCATATACTTCTTCTTGATGTCGATGGGCTTGACATACTCCACCGGCTTTCCTGGCCAGGCATTCACCATAGCCTGATGCCGAGGTCCCAATCGCGAGCTGGCGCGCGGATAAATGCGGTCGTCATAATCGAGGGCGTCTTCGACACGGCAGTGGATTCCCAAATAGCGATAGGGCCACATTCTGGCCTGCGCAACCTGTTCTTCTGTAGCTGGGCGCACCTCTTCCTCCACGGGTGCCGGAGTGCTGCTTGTGGTGCCATTCGTCGCGCCATGGGGTTCTTCTTCCTCCTCTTCGACCATCTCCTCATCAGCCTCCGGTTGATTTTCACCCAATATCGGGGTATTCCGTGCCTCGAGCTTTCGTTCTTGAGCGCGACTGCACGCTGCGCAAGCCCAAGCAAAGCCACGGGCCGGCTTCTTCGTCAGTACCGGTCGAACACAGTACATATGATAAGTGCTGTGACAGACGGCACAATCCACCGAGTCATTGCTATTCCAAGGTTAGTATGACTGAATCAGCCCATCGCAGAGAGTATGGATAGGTATACCTTGCGGCGTACAAGCTACAGCGCTTGCAGGTCTTCACGGCACTGGTGAGTTCCTTTCGTCGTCCAATCTCAACCAGGACGAACTTCCAGCGCTCGTCCAGAACCTTTTTGACGTTACTCGGGACGTTAATGACCTTGCTTGTTGGGATTACGTCGTAGTAGCGGTGGATGTATCGGTCAAACATCTTGTCGTACCAGAAACAATCCCGGGTCTTGCGGTAGGTGTCGAAGTCGGTAACCTCCGACAAGTGCTGGATCTGGCATTTTCCGCGTAAGGATGTGAGAGGACATGTGTCGGAATGCATGGAGGCAAAGACCAAACGCGTGTCGGCGACCTTGCGCTGGATGTCACGTGGGCGATAATACCAGTTCACCCGCAGTGCCTCGATCGGGCCGGAGGGGGCATCTTTGGAGGGGAGAAATTCCATGATCCGTGCCAAATAGTACGGTTCCCCCGGGGGTTCACAGATCAGGTAGACGTGGTCTAGATGAGAGTACTCAGTATAATTTTATGCCACAGCAGCAATGCTATCAAGTAAAAACACAATAGAAAAATGGAGAAAAATCAAGGAGGTAGATCTCACCATTGACGGCGTAGGTGGTGCCGTCATCGGCTCTGAGTTTGCCATCTTTCAGATAGGCGCCACGGCTCTCGAAACTGACCATGTTGGTTTCGGCCGGGTTGTACGCCAGTCCTGGGGCCGTCGTAAAGATCTTCTTGGCTGCATTCCCACTCGCAGCATTGGAGGTGGTGGAACTGGCCGGCTGTTTCCGTTTCCTGGAAGAAGAGTTGGCTGAGGCGGGTGCCGCCCCCTCCTCGAACTTGGCGGAAAATGAAGAAGTGCCAGGAATCAAGTCTTTGGCAGCAGCCGCGCCATTGGCACCATTGACCGCCGTTAGACTCTTCCGCGACGTTGCCGATGAGACGGGCTCCTCACTGTCGGCTTTGACGCCATTGACGAAGCTGCCGGAAACACCGCTACTCCGTTTGGCGGATTTGGAAACTGGTTGGGCGATCTCCAGGTCAACATCGATGTCGCGGTCTTCCGCATAATTGGGGCGGGGAGCGGCATTGCGACCTCTGGAGCGAGTCCCATACGGTGCCGGGGTGGTGGACGCGCTGGGAGGTTCCGTCGCGGCGACGTCTGAAGCAGACGCGCTGGCAGCCATGGGTTGAGATGTGAGGTCGTTCCCGGTGGCGGCACTTTGGGGGGTGGGCGCCTCTACCGACCCCGTTCGGGAAGTCTGGCCAGGGGTGGGCATTCGACGGGATGTGCCAGATGGCGATGATGAGTTGGGTTTCCCGGGATTGAGAGGGGACTTTTGGGATGGTGACCTGTCCGGGGCCATGGCCAACCCGCTAAAGGAATTCCCAAAATAGTCTCAGATAAGAGGGGACGTAATACCAAGAGAAAAGTGTAGTGTTGTTGGGGGAAGAGTTAGAGAGAAAAGAGTGGGCGATGCACCTCCGGCGTGGTTGGTTTGCGTTTGGATGTCCACAGGATAGAAAGAGTAAAGGGAACACCAAACTGGATGGGGACGACGCGGAGATGCAAAGCTCAGCAACGGGCCGGGACGGAGAGACGATCCCTCATGAGAAATGGGGAACTCTGCAGCCGGGTGGAAGGGAGAGAGAAAGAAAAAGAAAAAGGGAACACGAAAAGAAAGAGAAGAGGAAAAAGGGAAAATGGATCAGGCCTCGCGCTGCAAATATTTGCCCGAAGCAACTGGGGAACCGTCAATCGATGGTACCCGCCAAAACCCAGAAAAGCGTAATGTAATGGAGAAGTGGCAGCAGCTTGCTTGTCGGGATTGATTCCCTCAGTTCTTCCCGCAAGGGCGCCGAAAGGGTCAAGATTGGTGGGTGTTAAAATGGGCAAAAATTGGGACACGCCCACAGGGTGCGGAATATCAAGATCGACAGGCTTCCGGAAAGTGATAAGAACAACACCAACCCGAATGGGGCGGAAGGATTACAAAAGAACAACAAGAAGCAGGAAGAAAGCAGACCGGCGGGGGGGAGGGACTACCGAACTGCATGAACGACGAGGCGAAAAGGAGAAGAGGGAAGAAAGAATGTAGGAGGGAAGAGGGAAAAAGAGGAAGAGAGAAAAGGTAAAGCAAGAGTGAAAGGTGAGAGTGAGTGAGTGAGTGAGGGAGGGAAGAAAGAAGGGAAAGGGTCGCTGGAAACGTCGGAGTAGTAAAATGAAGGTTAGCGGCGGTGGAAGCCAAACAAGCAGTAGAGCCACTTAGGGCGTTGGGAGACTCGTGGGGTGAGCACAGAATAAGATCAGTACTTGCACCAGCAGCCAGTCAGATCTCTCCAGTCGGCGGAGGTGGCAGAAAAGTACGATCCCAGGAAAGTTATGGAATCAGTCAGTCAGTCCGTAATGTGTAGGAGCAGGTGCTGCGAGCTAGATACAAGGGCCGTCGTTTAATCGGCACTAGTAGTAGTAACCTGATTGACTGATGAAGGATGATGTATGCTGGACCGGGACTACCCAAGCATGGAAGCAAAGCACAAATCCATACAGATGGGGGTGAGTTTGTGATGAGAGAGGATTGTAGGAGTGATAGAAGCAGTTTGTGTTAGAGGCGTAGTTTAGATCGGAAGGGGGAAGGGGATAGATAATTTAGAGGGAAATGGGAGGGAAGAAAGGGAAGAGGGAAGAGGGAGAAAGAAGAAGGATGAGTGTGGATGTCGGGGAGAGACAGAGAGAGAGAGAGAGAGAGAGGGGAGGCGAAGATAGCAGCCAGCAGCAACAGCAGCTAAACTGGCAGGTCTTTCGTAACCCGGAAGGGAACGCGAGTCAAAAAGTCAGAAAGGAAAAAGGACAGGCAAATGGAAATGCAACAGCAGCCAAGTAGAGTGGAAGAAGAGAAAGAGAGCGAGTGAGAGAGACCAGAAAGAATCAGGAAAGCCGTCGAGGATCCCGACCAGTCCACGTCCTCGCCCCTAGTCCCGATGTGTTAATATGACGGATCCTCCATCCACTCCCATGAACCAGATGAATAGTTGCTTTCCCTCCTTTCCTCTCGCTTTTCCTCTCTTTGCGCACAAGTCGCTCTATCGGCCCTTCATCCTATCTGCGCATCCCCATCCCGGCCATTTCTACTCATGCTTGGCTCCAACCGGCCTTGATACCTGGCCCGGACGGTAGTACCCAGGTTTCCCTCCCTTCGCTCTCTTTACTTTTTGCCTCCCACTCTTTCCAGGGAATACCTATGACTGTTGGACCTACTCCAACTGTTTACAATGGATGTATTATGTAGGATGCATGAATGTATGTATGTACGTATGAATGGATATCCGTGTTCTGGGCTTCGGGGTTTATTTTTATAGCACCTTGCTCCCCTTGCTCGTCCAGGCGGCGGCGTGTTTGACCCGTTGGGTGATCTACGTCGGGACGCTGGATTTTAGTGGATTTACTTTCGTACTAGTAAAAGATCTTTCCCTCGGATGTTAGTCGCTGGCCTTTGGGGGGAGGGAGGGGGGAAGAGAAAAAAGGAATTGTGTGGGCCGAAAGACCCGAATGCGAAAGAATGATGATGATATCGGGAAAGAGGGGCCATGGCGATTGGAGAACGGGGAGGGAAGAGAGAGAGGGAGAGAGTAATGGGAATGGAAGGGAAGGGGAATGGGGGAGGGACCTGGAAACCTAAAATTAAGCAGCAGGGGAAAATTGGAAGTAAAAAGGAAAAAGGGTAAGTTGAGAAGAAAAAGAAAAATGAAAAAGGAAGAGGACATGGACGGACAAAGGGGACAAGGGCAACGGGGGGAAAGAAACAGAAGGAAAATGATCAAGAGAAATGATAATAATAATCATAATAATCATAATAATAAAAAGAATGATAAAGACGGGTCAAACGATCTTTTGCATTCATTCATATTTCACTCATCGGTCGATCCAGTCATGCATTTCCTCGTTCATTACTATACTCTGGATCTATGCATGTCGTTCTCCTTCCTTCCTTCCATTATTACTTACCCTCGGGCAGTCAACACTTAATAAAAGTCAAGTAACTAGCATAGAAAAAAAAAAGGCACTGCAGGCGGGAGATGAGGCGCTGGCCAGGAGAATCAGCGAGAGGGCATGTCGATTCTGTGGCAGGAATGTTGTCACGTAGGGCAGCGCATGCGCGTTGGATCTGAAATCCAGAGCGCCAAGTCCCTGTGCAGTGAGTGCCGAGTGGACAGATGGACCCATCCATGCCATCGAAGGCGCAGCGGATATCGTCTGTTTCAGTCTAGGACAACGGAAACGGCGTCAGCATCGTAGCCAGGAGCAGGGTCGGCTGGACAAGACAAGAAACGATCCGAGGTTCTTCTTCTCGCAATTTTTTTCCCTTCTTTCATTTCGTTTCTTTCCTTAGTATATTCTCTTTGTTCATATGGGGGAAAACTAGCTCTGAATTGTAATGCATTCTCTCGGGTTGGATAGCGGGTGGGGGATTGTTGAAGAGTTCAAGGGCATGGCATGGGAGGTCGTTCGTGGGAGTGATACCGCATTGTTACGGGGGTTGTTCTGGAACTACTAATCAGGGCCTCCTATTTGCAGGACACCCAACCGCCCTCCGGAGCTGGTGAATCACTGTGGAGTAATGGAAAGATATAATAAAAATACGTAACTAATAACTTGAATGAGAAGTACAGCGAATGTGAACAGAATCTTTGTCCAAAAGTATTAGTTTCTTTGGATATGGCAGTTGATCTATGGTATTAGCAGCAGCAGCAGCAACATCATGTATGAAATCTCGTAGGCGGAGAGCATTTACCACATCAGCAGCAGAGGCGACCCGACAGTGAGCAGGTGGCCAGCCAGAAGGCGATCGAGGTTGAAACATGGTACCGGACTCGCCTTTTTCACCGTCTTTGAGTTTGGACCGACGGTCCATGCTAAAGAGAGATTTTCCCGGGGGTGGTTTCTTACTGAGTGACCTAGGGAAGGGGAGGGGCTGTTGGCGCAAAGAAGTGGTCCTGTACGACCGGAGACTGGAGGCATGGATACGTGCTGGAAATGCTAAGCCATTTTAGCTTAGGCGGACAACCGAAAACTCGGTTCAGCGACAAGACTGAAAAGGGTGAGGGAGGGTGCCAGTTCCATGGCTCCCTTCGACCTGCAGTGCTAATTGACTAGTGGTGATTAGCAGCGACACAAAGTCGATCCTCAGGCAGGCCCCGGGGCCTTCTTATGTGAACTACCCACTCTCTGCCACTGACTGACGGCCCCGTCCCTCCGGTGCGGAAATTTACTCCCCATCACCTCCGTGTGATCCTGGCCCGCGAGACCAGTCTTGCCGGGACAAGCCGTTCAAGAACGCGCGGGAGAGAGGGGAATGATATCCAGTCAACGGCGCTTGTCGCTGTGCTGCAGGAAACAGCAGAGGTGGGCGCATGTGGTCCAGCTTCGGCGATGAGGTGATGATAACAGTAATCCGTCCACCAGAGCGGGAACTTGGCCCAACCCTTAGCGCCTGGTCTAGGGTATAATAATAATATTACCACTTCAACTCGCCTTCCTAATCCTAGCAAGTCAACAAGCCCCTACTAGTAAGGTACTTACTCCTTATCATGGTTCACTATGGATCTCCCCCGCGACGGCGGATCGTTTGGGTGCGAGGATTTTTTTTTTCTTTTTCTTCTCTTCGATTGTCTTGGCCCATCCGAAGGGACGTTCCGGCCGGATGGCAGCAGGTTAGGTAGATACTTCGGATGATGACCAGTGCTCCGGGGAATTCTGTCCCAATCATCTCGATTACCCCAAGTGCCTGGAGGAATGATAGTCACTATTCCCGTACTTTACGAGGTAGATCAACTTGGAGCTGGCCTGAGTTACATCATCACCATCATCCCGATAAGCCCAGCAGGAAGGCATCCCAGGTCTCCGGGCGACTAACGGACCTTGGAAACTCCTGGGATCAGAAATCGTAAGTCAACTTGGTCCAATAAGGCTGCGACTTGGTTGCCGCGCTGGTCGTCCTGACTTTTGTTGCCACATTACAGCCCTCAGCAAGGCTGGCAATTTCCCCTTCCCCTTTACCCAAGCAACATGGTTTACACCCCCCATTTCAGAGATGGGAAATGACATGGAAGCCATAAATTGATATTCTCACCAAATATGCGGATAGTATCTCCAGGTAGGATTGGATATTAAAGTGACAAGCAGTAAGTAGGCACTGTGGATGGTCTGGTGGCTTAGAGATGACGGTCTTTCCCCGTGAAAGGTAGATTGACCGGGGTTGGTCGGCTCTGGTGTTTCGAATGCCTAAACCAACAACTACGAAGCACTTACTACTAAGCCGGACGGACTATTTTGTCACGACTCGCTCACACTTTAACTAAAATAGATAAAATAGTTGTCGATACCTGGGGGGAAAATTGAAATCGCATTCGAGTCTTGAACCAGAGATATTGGGGATTTACAGTTTGAAGGTCCCAGTTATTTAATTCCTCATGATCATCATCTGATGACCGGAAACGCAAACCCCAATCATAATGCTCGGCTGCCTCTACTCTACCCAACCGACCGTCCAAAACGTGTTAAGGTGTAAACGCGGCAAGGTGACTCGATCGTCCGATGCTAAAGAGCGCGCTACTATGATGGGGACGGTATGAAGGAGTCTGGCACCTCGGAACCGACTACTAGTGCCTGCAGAGGGCCCTAGAAAGGAACAGCTTATGTTTTACGATGTACCCATTAACAACAGGTTAGACTCAGCTCAGGTAAGCGCCCGTGGGATTATATGTCATAGCTGGGTTCATTAGCTGGATTTCCCTGTAAAGAGCACTGCATTGACGCTCAGAACAAAACTCGTTAATGTGTGAGGGAGAATCACCCGAATTGTCATGATTAATGATGATACGGTGTACGGGGAATGTAAGTCTGATCAAGTCTGCTTAAGCGTGAGTGGCCACATGTGGGTGGATCACTTGGGGGGTGGGCTTTTTCCCTCTTTGCTCTTTTGCTCTTTTTTACCCTCGTTTCTTTTTTTCTTTTTCTCACCCTTCCTTTTCTTCTTCGGGCCCATAGCCTCCGGCTCAATAATGTTGAAGAAGAATGGCACTTTGGCCCGAGGTATCCGTCTACCTGGGACACTCTGGCCAATTCAACGTAAATGACCTTGTAGAGCTGAGCCAGAGCATCCTCAGGATGAAAGTTGAGCTGTTAAGTTGATATCTACAAAATTTCACTCTTCTGCATGGCATGGTAGCATCATGGGGATGATGACTGTACACAAGAGGCTCGCAACGCGGGATGTGAGGAGAGGGCGCACATGAACCAACCCATCAAGGGGCGTGTTAATGAAAAAAATAAATACTCGGTAAGCCAGACTTGTGTTGCGCAGGTCCGCAATTTAGCACTACGTATGGAGTCGGAGGCTGCCTGGCCTTACCTTAGTTCTTCCGTAGCCAAAAGGCTGTTACGATCCCAATCAGTCAGGTGACCCTAGGCAGCCAGCCCGCACGAGACGATGTTCTGGTAAAAAACAAATATTGTGATATTAATGCGGGAAGTGCCGTAGTGAAGGCTTTTATGGAGGCAGGGTTTGATGCAGTTCCTCCCCCCCCAGAAGAGTATCCCGATGCCTGTCGGAAGGTATGTATGAGAGGGGTATGAACTTGAAGTTCAACTAGCGATCAATAATGAATGTTGGGTTCTGATAGCCGGGCTTCTTCTCCGGCCACCCTTGCTTACTCACCTACCTTTAGTCTGCAGAGCGCGCGCGGGACAGGAAGGAATAGCGTGGCAGCTGGATTCTTTCCAACGTCTGTGCCCCCCGACTGGGTCGCAGGGTAGAATCGCTCGAGTTGGTGGTGAACACTGGACACCAACTTACTGCAAGATTTGCTGTGATCAATGTGGTTACAATTATCATCATTTCATATTGCTGTTTCTGTTCTTTTGGCTGCCGACTTCAAAAACTTCAGTTCCCTCGCCCGTGGAGGAACAATCAGATCCGGGGAGGCTGCTCGGCACCATATGGCCAGTGCCACTTGCCCACGGAAGATGCATGCCGCTATCGACTAGCACACGACCAACCTCCGTTGGGTAAGTCATTCCTCTCGACTGGCGGATCAGCAGGGCTCCGATTAGCGGGTGAGCCGATCCAGGAACGTTTCCGCACGGGAACAGAAAAATAAAAAAAAATGCTCAATCACACCTACTAGTATCAATTGTCACTAATATATTATCATTGGGGTATCGTATCTTGGGTCCGAGATTTTGACTACTTATTGGCCGACATAATTTATTCATTGCGTATTTCACAGCAGAGTGACTCGGGCCTATCAAGTTTCGCAGCAAAGTAGTATGTAGTGTACGTAAGTACCACATAGCGGCCTTAGGCTCGCCGACAAGGCACTAGATCGGGGGGTGTGGTGCCTGAGGCCGATTGGCCACCCACATCTCTCTAGTGTAGTTACCAGTTATGGGATGGATGGGATGCAGTTTCCCGAAACGAGCGCGTTGCACCCGCGTTCCTGCCAGAACCATCACCACCACCAACGGGCCTCGCCAAGGTTCTGGAATGATTGATCCCATAACCACTATCATCAGTGTTATCTTTGGCCTGGCCTAATATTCGGCACGTCTGGATGTCTAATCCTACAGTTTTATGGTGTTTCGTTCCAATCAAGCTACTAGTTCCTTGTTCCACCGGGATTAGCCACCCCTCCCAATGTTGTCTGGGCACTCTCCGACCATATTATACTTCCCATGATTCTCATTGCGTATGGGAGCCCCACGAGAGCCGCCATAACTGTACAGAGGTCAAAACGTTGACCCAGGCATGTCTGCACCACCCGGGCAGCCATTTCAGACCTATGGCTTCCAGACATCCGTCGATATTGCCCGCCAGCGGACGTTTGAGGTAGTCCCATTGGCTGGAAACAAGCGACCCCCGGACCCTTCTGCAGACGATGATCACAGGCCAGTGGGAGTAAGACATCCTACAACTGCTCCTGGTGCGGTTGGTCGGTCGGTAGATTTTATCCGCCCCTCGTTCATCCTTCCCAAGGCCCGTCTGGTCGCCAGCGACATCTATCCGGTTGCTGAGACACCGCCGGTGTGTCGTGGCCAACAGCCGAATGTGTTTCCTACCGACCAGAATCCTGCACACAACCCCTATTTGTCCCTGAATCATCCCACGTATGGCTTGCCTCCAGGACTGGTGGCTAACTTTGCCGCAGCTGGGCTCAGCAGTATCTACCAGTGGCAGGCGTCATGCCTTCTAGCGCCAGGTCTCCTCAAGGGCGACCGACATTTAGTCTACACAGCCCCCACGGGCGGGGGGAAGTCTCTCGTGGCCGATATTCTGATGCTCAAGCGTATCATTGAGAACCCCGGGCGCAAGGCTATCCTTGTCCTTCCCTATGTCGCCTTGGTACAAGAAAAGCTCAAGTGGCTCAGGCGCATCGTACAGGATGTCGAGAAAATTACCCTTGATGCCGAGGACCAAGCAGTCAATGAAAAACTGTACCACCATCGGTGGAACAGACTGCAGCGATCGATTCGTGTCACTGGGTACTATGGTGGAAGCAGGACTGCTGCATCCTGGGCAGACACGGACATAGCTGTCTGCACAATTGAGAAGGTGCGTTACATCTTTGCCCATGCAGTCACGAATCATCTCTAAGTGTTGTCACATAGGCGAACTCCTTGATCAATTCCACCATTGAAGAGTGTAGCATTGGCGACTTAGGCGTAGTCGTTTTGGACGAGCTACATATGCTTGATGATGAACATCGCGGGTATCTGCTGGAACTCATGGTCACCAAACTACTTCTCTTGCGACAGAGGACCCAAATTATTGGCATGAGTGCCACCCTATCGGTATGGTTGAAGACTCGGTTCGCAAGCCTGAAAGCTACCTGTCTGACCATTCCAAGAACACCGAGATGCTTGCCGAGTGGATGAATGCCGCTTACTTTGTGTCGACATACCGACCAATCCCGATTGATGATTACCTAGTTTACGAGAATGCGATTTATCCTGCAGCAACCTCGAGACAGCTTTTCCAAACTATCTCTAAGCTGAAGTCTATGTCTAACGCAACTCTTATGGAACGGATGCCCCCAGACCGTGTTATTCGTCCCTCGACCTTCCGCGAACTTGCAAACCCCATGACAAATGCGACTGTAGCTCTGGCGATCGACACCGCTGGCGCCGGACATGGCGCCTTGGTATTCTGCGGTAGTCGCCATATGTGCCAGATCCAAGCAGTTGTTATGAGCGAAGCGATGCCGGCCCCAGCGGACAACACAGATGAGCTCAGCAAGCGTTTAGACTTGCTTGCTGAACTACGCAGTTTGCCTAGCGGCTTGGACCCGGTCCTCGAAAAGACGCTCGTGAGAGGCGTAGGGTTCCACCGTAAGTACCATTCGCATTGTTTCCAGGCATATGCTAAGCTATCGCTATAGATGCGGGGATGACAGCAGAGGAGCGCGAACTGATAGCGCAGGCGTACGACCAAGGCGTCTTACGTATACTCATAGCGACCTGCAGTCTTGCGGCTGGTGTCAATCTCCCTGCACGGAGAGTTATCATCAATGGAGCCCGCATGGGCAGGGAACTTGTAGGTCCCGCAATGCTGTAAGTTGCCCCTAACCGAACATAGTGTGCTATTGGCTGATATTCGCGAAGGCGACAGATGTGTGGAAGAGCTGGTCGCAAAGGGAAAGACGATGCGGGTGAGACTTACTTGATATGTGGGGATAGCGACCTACAAGCGGTCTGCGACCTCTTAGAAGCAGAGATGCCTGCCATTGAAAGCTGCCTGGCCCCGGAGAAGAGAGGACTCAAGAGGTGAGTTCCCAACACCCAATTCTTTGATAATAGAATAGCTCACATCCCACAAGAGCACTTTTGGAAGCGATTGCGACGGGACTTGTGTCCGGTAACGATGCCATCAAAGAATATGTTAGATGTACCCTTCTGTACCTGACAGTGGATAAAAGAGTAGCCTACGGTATCATGGGTTCAGCGCTGCAAGAATTGGCCACCGAGGGACTTGTACAACTGAATGACAACGAATCATACTCGTCAACACAACTTGGCCAGGCAGTAGTGGCTTCGGCGTTTGCACCCGAAGATGGTCTCTTTGTTTATGAGGAGTTGAAGAGAGCGTTGCAAGCTTTTGTCATGGACGGTGATATGCATATATTTTACTTGTTCACGCCCTTGCAAGCGGCCACAGCCACTCCGATCGACTGGCTTATCTTTCGTGATCAGTTGGACAACCTTGATGAAAGCGGGCTACGTGCGTTGCAATTTGTCGGTGTCAGTCCAGGTTTTGTAAATACAATGTATGCTAGCTCACAACCCCTTCGATCATTCATGAAGGCGCTAATGGTTCCGCAGGGCGCAAAGTGGTGCATCACTCAAGGAGAATACGCCAGAACAGATGAACCAGGCCAGGATATACCGCAGAGCGTACACGGCATTTCAACTTCGGGACTTGAGTAACGAGATGCCATTGTCGGTAGTAGCCAATCGCTATCGGATTCCGCGGGGTGCAGTTCAAACCCTGGCACAACAATGTCATGGCTTTGCTGCGGGTATCGTGAAATTCTGTCAGCGAATGAATTGGGGCATGCTTGCGGCAGTCTTGGATCATATGCGAGATCGTCTGGAGGCTGGTGCGCGTGCTGATCTGCTGGAAATGGCGCAGGTTACCTACGTGAAAGGATGGACTGCCAGGTTACTCCGAGAAAATGGGTTCCGCAATCTAAGAGCATTGGCAGAGGCTGATGCGAAGGACCTTGTTCCTATACTTATGATGGTGTGGCAAACTTTGATGGCAGTGTGTGATGAGGCTGTGCTAACCAAGAAATACAGGTAAACCCGCGGAAGACCCAGAAGAATCAACTGCACCCAGCGGAGGCCGAGCGCTATGCTAAAAAGTTGCTTGCTAAGGCGGAGGTCATTGTTGCATCGGCAAACAAGATATGGGGTACGTATGGCTGAAATCTGCTACCTTCAAGTCTGGCATTGCTAACTCGGATATCCCAAATTTATAACAGAACGCGAGATGCAGGTTGAATTGGATGAGTGAACAATCTCGAAGTGTCTTGGAAGCTACACTGGGGCGATTTGACGTTACTATCTGCTCGACATTTTGGACTAAAGGGCATCTTATAACCAATAGACCTCGACGGTCCGCACGCAGTGTGGGGCCTTCTCCTTTGGATTTGACAGAAGAGCGGAATGGCAAATACATTTTATCCCGATTGGTAAGCCTTTTTGATAGAGCACTGCTGGATTTACATGGCGTGCCATCAGCCGGGTAAACCAAGAGCCACACTGCTCGGAAAGAAGGACAATGAGCTTTCTAAACACCATTCAGTTCACTTTGAGCCGCGATCGGCTCACCCAAATCGACAAAATCCAGGAGGATGAAGTTGGGCAAGCGGTCGTATATGGAGTAGCACAGGTCTGCCTGGGCTCCAATGCTCCCAGACCCCGACACCGCGTTGGTGTCGGATGCATGATCCTTATCGGGTATGAGGATTCCCAATATGTCGACATCCAGAAAATGATTGACAATATACATCCGTCCGGAGGCGGATGCACCAGCGGGCCGGTCAATGCTGCAGTCGGGGAAAGTTGCATTCGTCACATCATAAGGGGTCTCGAAGAAGTACGCAAACTCATCGAGGATGTATGGGACGGTCGAAGCATCGGCGCCATAATCTGGAAAGCCAGTCAGATAAGCTTCTCAGGACACGACTGCCTGGCCACTGCTTACCAAGGAAAGACACCAGCCGCGTGCCATTTCCGATCAATTCTCGTAGGGTCGGCCATTCATCCATGGCCAAAGTGTCTGGAGACGAGCTCGGCACGAACGCATAGTCTGAGATACCGGAACTGTTGAAGACATCGCCGAACTGCGATACCGATAGACTGTCACCGTTTGTAAGGAGGAGGGTCACCACCTCATCCGGGTTGCTGTCCATCCAGGATTTGACTGTAGTTAGAAACGATTCCAGGCTGCCCGCATCCTCCAGCAGGCACGACGTGTGGCAAAGGAGGATGGTATCATCCAGTTCAGATTTGTGGGTTTGGCCCTGAAGGAAGCGGATTCCCAGGTCCAACTGCTGGGTGACACTGAGATCCTGGTTATCGGAGAGGAGCGACCCAACGAAGGGGCTGTCGTGGGCGCCGACCTGGGTAACATTGGAAAAACGGCGATCACAGTACTCAGCCTGGCCGTTACAGGTGGACTGCGCGATAGTTGGCACAATGGATGCTATGCCCACCGCCAGGCCGAAGAGGATGGATGGGGGGAACATCATCATGCAACGGCGTTCCTGGTCCTTTAGCCACAGTTGTTGCTAGGTTCGACAGTGGGGGGCTACCGTAACGGGCAGGGAGGATGCCGATGAATGAGGAATGCACCGGCTTTATTTATACCCTGGCCCTTGATGTACGATGTTCAGTCCATATTCCATCTTCTGCTAAAATGACCGCGCCAACCGTTGCTGATGAAATCAGCAGTGGCTTGTTGGAGCCATCTGCCAGCTTGTGACCTGCACGGGTGATGATGAGGGATAGTGTGATAACCCCAACCCGGACACCAACCGACAGGGCAATCACGGTTAAGCATCATGATAGGACCGACGGGAGAGCATTTGAATAGCCAATACTACTCTACACTCTAAGCCCAAGGGCTAAGTTCCCGAGTGCAGAACTAGTAAATGCTGACCGTGCCACTGCAATCCAATCAAGCGGGGGTCTGGAAAGGAGACGACGAGTGGTTGGTTCGGAGCCAGGCGGTTGAATATATTGGCAGATCCTTAGGCTGGCCCTCTGGGGCGCTAGATGCAAGTTCCTAACTGGAAGTAATGGCTGGCTGTTGGAAACATGATGGAATATGGATAACCTCCCTCACTGCATTTCCTTAAAGACCTGGTGAGGGGGGATTATAGAGGGACTGTTTGTCACATGGGATCCGTCATCATGCAGGTCAGAAGCTTGACAGCCACGCACCATGTTGGTTCACGATTGGGACGTGAAGGGGGTGGGGTACGAGAGAGAGAGAAATATCCCTGCGATTTTCATCATCTCATGCTGATTCCTTTTCGTTAGGTGTTTCTGGTGCTGAAACAACTAAGAGAGAAAGGAGGGGGTGGGGGGATTGAGATGCCTAAGGCATGGACAAGGAAAGCCCTATGCTTACCTCGGCTTTTGCAACATTTGACTCTTCAGCCACAGAGTCGATCCCAGCGATTTAATTTGCGGAATATTAAGTATTGGGAAATAGGTAGATGTGACGTCTCCGCTGAGTTGATGAATTGGATGTCTCTTCCGAAACCGTCCACGTGGAATAGCATCAATCGCGTGTAAGAATCATTTTTCTGTCCCCACAAGGAAGAGGGAAGATGTTTAGGTCTTGTGGTAATGTTAGGTAAACCGACTACCAACATGTAAAAAAAAGGGGGGAAAAATAATAAACAAAATGTACTGTAGCGGTCTAATTCTATCTATCTATCTAGCTAGTAGTGATCAAGACAATGGCCATTCATGCATCCAGGCACCCAGGCACCCAGGCACCCAGGCATCCGTGGTCACTCCATCTTTCTGTCCCTTCCGGATTGGGACTAGACCGCCTGGGGCTCCATTGGGAGCGTAATGGTAACCGTACCCAAGATACCAAGAATACCAAGAATACCAACTCCTCCTCCTTCGCCGGTGGGTATCTCCGGTATCTCTGCCTGGCCGGTCCTTCTCCATTGCCTCCTCCAGTCCAGTTCAATCCAAGCTCGTCGCGGCCTCTTCTCCTTCCCTAGATCCATTCCTCACCCCCATTCGGCGTCATATCTTCATTACCTGAACAGCTCGTGCGTCTCCTCGCTGTGCTGTCTCCGAGTGTCTGCCGCCGCCCTGAGCCTGACATCCAGCCCCCCGTTGATCCCGGCCAGCCTCCACTTTTATTGCCCCATTCGAGCTTCGTGACATCGATTGTTGAGACCACCAGCGCCTCACCGTACAACTTCCGTCCAGACTCTCATTGCGATTCATTGCTACTATCAAACAAGACAGTTGGAGCGATGGTCATTCGAACATCCCGCCGATGAGCTCCATGATCGAGACCAGTAATGACTGGGCACGAGAGGATGAGCTCGACTTGGGCCAGGAAGACGATGAACACTCCCCGCCCGCCCGCAACGGTGTCTCCGACCATGTCAACACTCAGGAGCCGCCAGATCATGGCCCAATGGCTTACTTCGAGGAGGACCTCCCCGGCGTAGCCAGCGAAAACCATGTCTCGGGGAAACCAAGCCCTCCTGTTGACGCCGATTCCACTGACCTCCCATCCTCGCCGCAATCCGGGCAGCCCGGCGCTCCCGGTAGCGTGGATGAGACCCTCTCGACGCCAGATGATACCCCTTCTTTGCATGTTGGTCGCGACTATGTCTGTTCCGCCCTGACTCCCCGCTGATGAGAATAGGGCTCTGTTTTATCGTCGCGAAGCAGCAGCGCGTTGGCCCTCCGCGGGTCTCCTCACCTCAGCCCCAGTCCTTCCCATCGCCCTTTCGATCGTCGTTTCCAGTCCAGACTCTCCTCTGCATCGCCAGTCAGTTTCCGACCGTCATCCCCGTTTCTAGCCCAGATCCACTCCCGAAAATCTTCCCTTACCAGCCATCTATCGCCGGGGACCGTGGACTCGGGCGCGGACATCCCTCTGGGCCCCTGGGATGTTGTGCAATGGACTAGATTGAAGAAGCTCAATGGGCAGGCATTCTCGGAAGTTGGAAAACGGAACTTTGGGCATCCCACCTGCATGGTCGTTTCGACGTCCATTGTGGTTGGTACGTCCAAGGGCATCATCCTCGTATTTGACTACCAGCAAAACCTGAAGACCATTATTGGACTTGGGACAAAGGGTACGTCTGATCCTCAACTCGGCTGAGGTCCCTTCTGCTGACTTGGCGCAATGTAGCTGTTGAATGTGGCGCGATCACATCGTTAGCACTTTCGGCAGACCACTCGACGGTTGCTGGAGGCCACACTTCGAGCGACATATTCACCTGGGAAATTTCGCGGTCAGCGCGGCCTTTCCTTCATATCCCCCCCATACCTGCTAGTCAGGTAGAGACTCGAACATCGGACGGTCATATCGCGGGTGGGCCGGTCATCCATGTGGGATTCCTGGGAACGCGACGGACGGCGCTGGTATCAGCCGATAAGCGGGGAATGGCCTTCTCACACCTGGCTACTCGAGGAATGGGCGCAATGGGACGGACGGTCAAGACCACCCGGATTCTGGGTCGCTATCCCCAGGTCTTCGCGGAAGGTAGTCGACCGCGAAAGCCCAGCTCCGTCCTGGCATTCTCGCCGCTCCCGCTTGGCAATGTCGAGCAATCCACCGACTCGCTAGGCCTGGTCGCCATGCTTACACCGTATCTCCTTGTCATTGTTTCAACGACGCCTGTCGCACAGACACAGCACAAGTCACCCCGTCCGAAAGAAGTAACAGCTCATGGCGCCATGACTGGAGCCCTTGCCTGGTTCCCCGCCATCCGGCTCAAGGGCAAAGACACAGAGATTTCCAAGACGAAGCTTGTCTATTGTTGGTCCAACGTGCTGACGGTGATGGACATCTCGGAGGTGGAAACCGACGAGTCACCGAGCCGTGATCGTCCTCCAAGCCTTTCCTTCAGACCCAGGAGCCGATGGAAGGCCGACGAGGCGATTGTTGCCGTGCAATGGCTGAGTCGCTCAGTACTGGCAGTGCTCACTATCACACAGCAGTTGCTCATATTGGAAGACCACACCATGCGTGTCACGGAAGCCGTTGACCTCCTCAACCGGCACATCTACCATGTGGATCTGTTCTCCGCCCAGCTGCATAGCTTGGTCGAGCAGTTCAATGAAGAGGATACTTCGATGCATGGAGTGGTGGCAGACGCCTTCTATATGAGCTTCCGCTCCTATAAGGGACGCCTGTTTCTCTTAGGTTTCAACGAGATGTTGATGGGAAGCCTGTCGAACTGGGCGGATCGGTTGCTAGCCCTTATGGAAGCCGGCGACTTTATTGGTGCGATCCAGCTGGCGACATCATACTATGAAGGTAGCGCCGAGAAGCTGACCATTGGATTACCGGAGGAGGATGCACTGAGGCAGCCGTTAGTTCGAGAGAAGCTCCAGGAAATGATCTCGGCTTCGCTGAAGTATGCCTTTGGGCGGAATACAGAAGCGAACAGCGGAAGGCTGGGAAACGGACAGCTTGAGAAATTAGCCGAGGTATCCATCGCGGCGTGCGTCTCTATGTCCGAGGAGGACTTCCTTTGGGACGAGGTGTTTACCTGGTACGAGGAGAGTGGCTCACCGGGAATATTCTTGGATGCGCTCGAACCGTATATCGTGGAAGGGACCGTCCGCTCTCTTCCTCCGACTGCCGTGAAGGCACTGATCAACCACTTTGCGACGAACCACAGCGTTAGCCGTTTGGAAGAGATCATCTGCCTGCTGGATACCGCCACGATGGACATTGACCAGACTACCTCGCTGTGTAAGCACCATAATTTGTACGACGCGTTTATCTACGTCTGGAATCGCTGCCTAGGAGATTACGTGGGTCCGTTGCAGGAGCTCTTGCAGCTCATTCCGACACCGGAGGCTCTCGTGAACGGGGAGTCGGTGGATGGACTCAAGCGGTATACTAATGCGATGAAAATGTTCCCTTATCTTTCCTTCGTCCTCACCGGACGTGTCTATCCTACCGGGACAGACATGGATGACGCTGAGGCGACCCGAGCCAAAGCGACCCTGTACGATTACTTGTTCTCTGGCAAACCATCTGGTACCAAAGCTGGAGCTCGAGCTCAACTAGGCGGGTCGTTTCCCGAGCTCCAGGCCATGCTGCGATTCGACACATCCAGCTTCATGAGTATGATGAATGAGGCGTTCGAGGACAGTTTCTTGAATGAGCAAGAACCCGACGAGACTCCAGTTCGGGGAGTGTCCATTAACCGACAATATCTTATCAGCATTCTGTTACAGGTTATGACCCAGTCTTTCGATGCATCTGATACCATTTATCTAGACATGTTCCTTGCGCGCAACCTTCCTAAATATCCTCAATATATTCTCCTCCCGGGCAGCACTCTTCACCAGGTCTTGGAGCGGCTGTGCCGATACCCGAGCCTGGATATGGCTGACGATTGCGAGTTGAGCGCCGAGTACCTGTTGTCTTTCTACCATCCTCCCAACGTCCAGGGCATGATCCCGCTCTACAAGGAAGCACGGTTTTTCCGGATTCTGAAAGCTACCTATCGCTCTGAAAAGCAGTACCCGGAGCTAGTGCGCACATACCTCGAAGATCCGAATGAGCAGGAGGCCATCTTTACCTGTCTCCAAGACTGCCTTCGACCTGGCTCAGGACTCGGTAAGAAGCAGCGACGTGACGTTGTTGACGTGGTCAAAGAGCATGCTGGCCAGCTGGTCGCAATTGATGTGGAGAAGGCCGCCCAGACGATGCATGGGCTCGCACCGGATATCCACGGGACCTTCCTCGACATCCTCAAAGACGATACTGGTCGGCAGTATCAGTACTTGGGCGTTGTGGTCCGCATGTCTCTGCAGTCTGTGACGGAGGGACGACAGAGTAAGCCCATCGAGAACTGGATGGTCGAGCGGTATGTACAGCTGCTCTGCAAGTATAACCCGTCTCGCGTTGCCGACTTTGTAGATGATCTACGGGTCGGAGACGTCCGGCTGGAGGAGCTGTTGCCATCCATGGAAGAGAGTGGGGTGGTGGACGCGGCCGTGATCCTGCTGGCTCGACAAGGCCAGGTGCGGGCCGCGATGGATCGTCTCATCACACATCTGGGGACCCTCGAGTCGGGACTGGTAGGCATTCTGCAGAACCTGCACGATAGTCCCGACTCTGCCAGCACGACGGAGGCGATCGACCATCTCGTTGAGTCTCTTGACAAATTTACGCGAGTGGGGACCTGGCTTTGCCAAGGGCAAAGCAAGACGGCGAAGAATTCACGCGCGGTGGAACGGAATGGTACGGGCAAGGGTGTCCTGGAGCAACCTCTCTCCTTCGACGAAAGTCTATGGCTCGATCTAATTGAGGCCGTCGTGCGGACGGCCAGCAGCGTGTTTGGCTTAGTGCAGCAAGAGCGTGCAGCCCCAGTGACTCCGGCAACCAGCCACTTGATGTCGGCGTTCCGCGCCCTGGTGCAGCAGGTGTTCACGTCGCTGCTCTCCAGTACGGTGCGAGTTGGCGGATCGTCAAGCAGCGAGCGGAGCGATGTAAGCTTCCTCCGTATTCTGCGGGCATTCCTCACGCGGGCGGCCAGCTGGTCGCCCTCCCTGTTAGAGCTGCGGGCGGTACTGGCTTCAATCTTCTCAGCCTACACGTATGAGAAATCCCTGTTGGCACTGGCCAACGGCATGCTGGACCGGGACCTGTTTGTGCATGTGGACGAGGTGACGCGACTACGGCAGCGGGGATGGCGACCACGCGGGCAGGTGTGCGAAATCTGCCGGCAGCGCATCTGGGGACCTGGGGTTGGACCCCAGTTTTGGCAGGCGTGGGAGCAGAAACAGGAAAAGACGCACGAGCAGCGTCTTCAGAAACGACTTCATGCACAAAATGATCCGGCGACCGCACGGGGGAAGGGCAAGGCCGCCGATGCAGGTCAGCCGCTCCCGCTGATGGATGGGCATGCGGCCGCAGCAGATGGTGAGGGTGTGAATGGCGAGAACGCGACGGTGGCTGCTGGGCCGGTCGTGATCTTTTCCTGCCGGCATCTCTACCATCGGCGATGTCTGTTGGAGGTTGATCCATCGACTACTGGGCATCCTGTGCATCCCCAGCACCGGCACCATCATCAATACCAGCATCGTGGAGGGCCGTTTCACCGAGGAGGATCGGAGTGGGAGGAGTTGTTGGCATGCCCGATGTGCCCTGTACATAATGAACCAGCGATGGCAGCGTGATGACGATGTCCTAATAGCATTTTTTCCCTTCAACGTTTTATTTTTTTTCTACTCTAATCTCTACCTTAATTTCTCTGTCTATACTTGCATACGTCCTGATAGTTCTCACAGGATCGGCTGACCGAGGGAGGCAAATTCCCACGAGCTGTCAAAAAGGCCATTGGGAGCGACAGAAACCAAACAACGTTAGTGAGTGGCATTCCAGTTTCTGCATTCGGGCGGGGATTTCATCTGCTGATGCTGCCGGCTAATTTCCCCCTGCCAGGCCCTCTTGATTGGGCTTCAGATGCATCGCGTGGTCCTGTCCTAATCTCGGGGTTGGCTGCAGCTGCTTGCGGAATCCTTCCCATCTCGGGCCTGATCTTCATCCTCCGCGCGGTTTGACTAGACGCCCAGCCTGCAGCACTTTCACTCAAAATGGTGTTCTACTCGCCTCCATTGGCCGAGCCCTCGACTCCGGAATGTGCCCGATCGCCTGTCACTGGCCCAGTTGATTTTCTCGCTGCCCGTTTTCATGCCCTATATTGGCCCGCGGATTAAATTAACGGCTTCAATCAATCAATCCACATGGACCTCGCAGCTGGCCTCGCCAGGTCCCGACTGGTCCTGCGCTCTGATCCGGTGGGCTGCTGTGGATTGTTCATAGTCGGCGCCACACAGATCGTTAGTGTCTCTGCTTGAAGGCTTGACCAGACCCGGAGGCCCGAGGCCCCCTGTCTCGGCGTCTGTCTCTTTACACCTCTCTAACTTTCTAACTTTCTACCCTCTCTCTCTCTCCCGCACGACGCGCTGTATATAACCCTGTTCTCGGCCATGGCTCGACGAATTCAGAGACCTCGTCTCTAGACCAACATTCCTTTGCCTATTTCTGCTGCTGCTGCTACGATTGAGCTGCGGCTCCATTCCTTAGATCTCGCAAGAGACATCTTACGCATTCATATAAATATCTACTTCTCTTCATTCCTTTCACGATCCGCTTTTCTTCAGAGGAAGAACATCAATCTAGCCGGTCTAAATCAAAGAAACTCCTCTACCTCTCCTTTGAAGAAAACCCCTTCAATTCATACATGCTCGTCGCGATGCGACGCACCGCGACTCTCCTTTCGGCCTTAGGCCTCACGGCGCAGCTCAGCTCTGCAGCCTACACTTTACAAGACGACTACTCTGGCTCTGGCTTCTTCGACGGCTTCTCCTTCTTCACCGACACCGACCCCACCAACGGCTTCGTTGACTACGTTGATGAAGCCACCGCCCAGAGCAATGGCTATATCTCCACCTCCGGCGACTCCGTCTACATGGGCGTCGACCACACCAACGTCGCCGGCAGTAGCGGACGTCAAAGTGTTCGCATCTCCAGCGACGCCACCTACAACCATGGTCTCTTCATCCTAGACCTCGAACACATGCCCGGAGGTATCTGTGGCACCTGGCCTGCCTTGTAAGCCCCCCTCTCCATCCCCTCCACCCTTCACTCATAACATCTCTATTGAACACAAAAGCTAAAAAAATCATTATTATAGCTGGCTCGTCGGCGCCGACTGGCCCAACAACGGCGAAATCGACATCATCGAAGGCGTCAACCAACAATCCGGCAACGACATGACCCTGCACACCAGCGACGGCTGCAGCATCTCCTCCTCATCGGACTTCACCGGCTCCATGACCACCGACAACTGCTACGTCTACGCCGCAGGTCAATCCAGTAACGCCGGGTGTGGTATCACTGATCCCGACGCTACCTCGTACGGAACCGCCTTCAATGCGAATGGCGGCGGCGTGTTCGCGACCGAGTGGACTTCAGATGCGATTAGTATCTGGTTCTTCGAACGGGGGAGCATCCCTGATGATATTGATTCCGGGAATCCGGATCCGGATTCTTGGGGTTCCCCTGTTGCGAGGTTTCAAGGTGATTGTGATATTGATAGTCATTTTGATGGGTTGCAGATTGTATGTTCCTTTCCCCCTCCTCACCCCTTCTTTTTCTTCTCTTTGCATGTTGTTGGTTTGTGATGATGGAGGACGCTAATAGGTTGGTATAGATCTTCGATACTACCTTCTGCGGCGACTGGGCCGGTAATGTCTGGGGCTCGGGCAGTTGTGCGTCCGTCGCTAGCTCGTGCAGTAGTTATGTGGCGAATAATCCCGGGGCTTTTGTCGACGCTTACTGGAGTATTAATTCGTTGAAGGTTTATCAGGATGATGGTGATAGCACTGTTGCTGGGGTGGTTGATTATGGGGATGATGACGATGAGGACGATGATGATGATGATCAGGATGATGGGAACGATGATTCCGACGACGATGACGATGATGACGACGACTCTGATTCGGATGATGATTCAGATGATGATGGGGACGACGACGACGACGACGACGACGACGACGACGATGATGACGATGAAGATTCTCGTCCCTGGAGGGGAGGAAGAAACCATCATGGTCCGATGCTGAACGCGTCGACGTCGACTTCGTCGTTCCCTAGCCCGTCGTTTGTGAAGAAGGCCAGGTGGGAGCCAAGGAATTATATGGCGGGCATGATTTTCTAATCGATTCCTCCTCGTCTGTCTCATCTCGTTTTGTCTGATTCCATCCATTTCATCTTCATTTCATCTCGCACACGCTCATCTTGATTGATACATCAGTTGGTTTGTTGGCATTTCAGTCCTTCGTTTGATTGGTTGGTTGGTTGGCTGTTTTGTTTTGGGTTTACTCTTTCGGTGCATCATCCATGCATGCATGCATGTATAGATCCGGATCTATACGGGCATAAACTACTACATCATGGTACCTTACTACAGGTACTAGTCGCTCGCTTTGTCATATACTACTATACCCGCCACTCGTTAGAACAATTACAATTGAAGTTTCTCATTTCCCTCTTTTCCATATTTCTAGTATTACTACTCCAAATGACAGAACCCATAGGTATATAAACAAACATCATAATCATTACATGTCAAGTCGATATCCCAACACATCTCGCTGGTCATCAGTTATCCGTCCCCATTCTAGCAATAACCGGAAGAAGTAAATCTCCATATCTTCCTTGCGAATCACTCGGTTGGCCCATTTTCGCCCCTCCTCGGCAATCCAAGTCCCCTCGATATCGTGCGGCGGCATGTGGACGTGCCTTGTGGCGCCATTTACCGTGAGAGTCGTGTCCACGCCGGCAAAGTACGCCAGGGTGCTCCATAATCCGTGCAGACGAAGATCGATCGGCACAAAGTGCAGCCAGGGGGTGATACGTGAGTCGAACCATTGACGGAACAGACCGGTCTTGAATGGGAGACTGTGACTCTGCATGAAGGGGAGGAAGCGGCCACTGAAGCCGGCACCGTCCGAGTCGAACAAGTAGCGATATTGCCAATGGGATTGGAAGTCGACGCGGGAGGCCGCGCCGAGTTCTTTGCTTTGGTCGTCGCAGTCTTCTCTGCGGCAGCGGACGATGGGGTCGATGACGTTGACGGAGGTGTCGAGATGGAGGATGTCGGAGGGGGCGCGGCCGTTAAGGACTTCATACATGTACGTGTCTGTTTCGTTGGTGGGGAGAAAGACGGAGACGCTGTTCAGTGTGTTGTTGTTCACGAGGTGGGCGAGGCGTTGGCGTGGTATGCCTTTCCATTCGCCGTGGTTGCTGACGCCTTCGGATGTGCTGCCGATCCAGAAGAGTGTGTTGGTTTTGTCGGTGTAGTTTGCATCGGGGTGTTCTTCTGATGGCTTGTATTCAATCTTGTCGACGTAGTTCCAAGGACTGGGGAAAATAATGTCGTTGAAGCCGGCGATTGTGCTCTGGCTGAAGACGGGGGTCAAGTCTTGTGTGACTTTGAAGGATGCTGGGGACAGGAAGAACCCGTGCAGAGAGGCAAGGTCGGGCTGGTGGCAGATGTCTGTCGCAGCGGTCCAGTCGGACGGAAACTCTCCCAGCGAGTGGGGACGAACGCAGCTGAGGCAGATGTGTCGCCGGTCCCAGATGCGCTGACTGCGAGCTTTGGAGGAGCGTGGGCAGGTGGAGCTCACGTAGCGATCGAAGATATGCTTAAAGGAGTTGTCAACGAACATGGTTTCTGTCGTCTGGTCGGCCGGCTCGATTGGTCCCCACTGAGCACCGCGATCAGTCGACCATTCGGTTTGGATGCTGTCCTCCGGTGGTAAACCGTAAGATCTCGCTTGGTGCCGGAGTACCGAAACCTTCTCCCAGGGAACAGAAACCCGAGGCTCATCGTTCAGGTTGAATGCGAGATCCATATCCGGGAGGAACTCGGCAAACTTCTCGATCATCTTGGAAGCGCTAATTACCATCCACGCATGCGTGGGCTTGATCCCTTCCTGTACTCGAGCTTTGCCGTTACGGATGCTGATCGCACCGATCTCATTGTAAGGGTTTGTCGCCAGCTTTTGCGTCATGTCCCGGATCTGCGCAGGCGGCAATGCGCGGAAGGGTAGAAGGTCGGCATATATTTGGTCGAACTCGTCCATGACTAGGGAAGATCGGTTGACAGCATATTCGTACCACTTATCAAAATTCCTGGTCTGGTTAGCTCCAGCTAAAGGTGTACAATCGTGAGAGAACGCACGGTGGTGGATGTTGATTGTATTGGGCGCGGTACTTCCTAACAGCATCGGCGAGAGTTTGACTGCTGTTGGCCCGCGCAAGCCATTGATCATGGTGCTGTCTCCCGTCGTACACAAGCAGATCAATAGGATGCAGATGCGCGGCGCTATGCTGCTGGTGCACCAGGACGAGGCCGATTACAGTAAGAAAAGCGAAAGTAATTCGCATAGCCAGGTTGAATCGATATAGGAATTGCGCTTCATCTTCTGAAGCAGTTCGAGCATAAAGAAAGGCTACGGCTCCCGCAAAGATGAAGAAAAGAGCCGCGAAGGCGCGGGAGGCGAAAATCAATGGAAATGGATGTTGTCCGTTGAACAGAGTGGACGCCCAAGTGAAGTAGAGCGTGACGAAGCCCGCCAGCACAGCCAGCCCAGCGATACCATAGTACGGGATCTGAGCAGTCAGCATTTGGCCACAATAGACGGTTTCTCGAACCTACCAATTGGGACGCCGCAGCGACCACACAAGTCACCAGCACTGCTTGACCCACCGCACTGCGTAGGTATTGAGCACTGATGAAGCGGTCGTCGCCGTCGGAAGTAGCGACGAGAATGATAACAACGATGGTATAAAAGATAGCCACTCCCTTTCAGATCATGGTCAGTTTGATTAAGTTCGAGAAAAATGTCACATTGACGCACCAGTAGGCTATAGGCCCAGGAAGCCAAAGGCGGCTTCCTGATGGTGTCCCCCGACCGGGATCCTTCACTCGCCAGTTCAGCCGCGCCGATTAAGATCAACGAGTCGAGAATGAGGCTGAAGATCGTGAAGACACGCATGCGCGTATATACACTAGAAGTATTGGGGCAGATGTATGTTGACTGCAAGCCATGACTGAACGTTATGGTGATGTATCCACCAGTTAGGAGAAAAAAGGCCGCTATGACATATCTCAGGCGGCTCTGAAAGAGGAAATTGTGCATGCGACTGGCAAAGGTAGCTACGGCACGCAGATGCGCATTCTGCGGACGCTCAGGAGCGGACCATTTCGCAACCGGTCGATTGCGTTGATTGTGCCAATAGTCGTAGAGGGCCAATAAGAAAGGTATGGAATACTGCGCAAGGAGTCAGGTTAGCGCTGCCGCCAAAGATCTAACCCTTGGCTACTTACCGCGTATCCATCCGGCGCGCATTCAGTGTGGAAAGTGAGGTCGCGATACAAAGCAATTCGGATGCATCCAAGCACCGAGAGTAGACCTAGTTTGATCCAACGCGCCGAGCTGCGCGAGCGAGTGAGCGCAAAACTGCTGTTACTGTCTAAGCTGATCGGCGAAAATGGCTCTTCGAGCGTTTGGTCCCGTTCTGTGAGAGGAATGGCGGAGTATTTAGGTGCAGACGAAGCGATCTTCGGTATGCGATGGATGAATCGGCTCAGAATTAAAAGACAGATCCCCGCAAAGTAGCAGGCCAGTACGGCTGTGATGAGAGGGTGGTCTAGGAGGACATAATTAGCCTAGAGGATTAAGGACCGTTCGGTTCGGTAGCCTACCGAAAGCGAAAGTAGTCTTGTAAGACGTCGAGATAAAGGTACAACTTAGTAAGAATACCCTGTGCGTTGCGTTAGGTCGCTCAGTTGAGTAACAGAGTTGGGCATCCTTGGTGGTATAACGGGCATGCTTATACTCACCCTACCGCGGCCTTGAGGCCGGTCTCAGCAGAGAGAAATACCATGACGCCAAAGAAAGTTATGGGCACAGAAAGCTAATAGCCATCATGGTTTGAATGACATTCACATCATGCAGCGCACAGGCAAATTCCGGCGCAGAAAGAAAGATCCGCGAGGGAGTAAGCAACTGTGGTGCCTGGCTGGGGATGCCGCAAGGAGGTGGAGCCGTCACTATAACGTCCTGGCTAGGGGCCCCAGGGGGGGGAATACACTTCCAGTAGAATGAATGGCGTGTGTCCTCCGGAGTTTGCGAAAGGTGTGGAGGAGAGAAGAGGGGGGGGAAATAGGAATGACAAAGGGACGACAACAACCAAAAACATATCCTTAGAATATCTCATTCCCAGCAAAGATAAGGAGACCATGACCGGGATTCGAGGGGATTGCGTCAACGAAGGGGTCTGGCCCACGGCTCGCGACCATCACGGCCATCCTCATTCCACCACACGGGAGGAACTTGTCCTTAGTGTCCAGATAGCTGCACTGCCCATTGCCTTCCTCGAGCACGTCAGCACTCCCAATCTCACGACGATCATCTTTCTGGTCGAATGAATGGCCAAGAGTTACCGCTCAGTCCATCGGGCATATCAGAGACGGTGTCACTGAACACGTACTCCTGGAGATGCGTAAGATGCTGCAGTAAACACACGCAGTGAAACGGTCAGTCATCCTGAAAGGAAGGAAAAAAGACATGGCAGGTTGCAGCGCTTAGCGTCAGGGTCCAGCCATTCCATGGTCCATCTTTGGCCCATCTTGGGATGATCCTCTCCCCGATCGGGCAATCTCCCCTCCCGTGTGCCCCTCTGGATGGCATCATCAATCCTGAAAACTCTGGATCTCCAGGGAGTCCAAGAGTCAAACTTGCGCCAACTCACCCAGTCAAAGTTGGCAGTAACTGCGCGATATCCTGGCGGCGGGTAAAGCGTGGAGACTCCGTGGGGACACGAGTTGAGACTGATTTGAGAGGGATCTTCCTGCCTGCCTGCCTTCTTCTGGTGTGAACTTTCACCCTTCCACCATGCGCCATGATACCTGAGTACTGTCTGCAATAAAAGAAAGTCCTACACATGGCATAATTTTACTATCAATACTAACCATATTGGCTCCTCGATAATAAATAATACGAGGATGGGTCTTTCAAAGCAGCCGATCGCTAACTATTGTAGAACAAACAAGGACCAATTGCCTCGCATGCAAACAAATCCAGATGAACTTCCTGACCAGATATCCAATATAGATTCTCTGTAGCTTCAAAAATGTGAAAAGCAATTTTATTAAATTATCCAATGCTCCAAAGAGGAATAAGATCGCGTGCTAGACCTGAATGTTATGATCAACTGGTCAATAATGGTACCTCCCCGTCCCTGTCAATGGTTATCACGTGACAAATCTCGAGCCAGGAACCACATATTATATGCCTCAGGCATAAATATAGGCGGTACCCCATACAGAAAGCGGTACCAAGCGGCAGTTCTGATTTTCGGCGATAACTTTTTTTTTGTCGGCGAAAGGAATCGCAGAGTTCATCGGCAGTGTGAGTCTCAGTTTCTTTACCTGGCCGACCGTTTCTCTTGTTGCTTTGAGGGCCTGGTTTGTGTCTCCCTGTTTCGCAAATCAAGTGGTGTTTCTGTATACCCGCTGCAAACCCGCAATCTGTGGTCCCCGCCGCCGTCTACGAATTTTCGTTCGCGGGCCATCGAGACCTTTCTGCGAGCGCTCATTTAAATACCCAAGTCAACCCCCTCCCCTCTCCAGGGTCACAGGAATCAGCCTCCAACATGCCCCGCAAAGCGATTGATTCCCGTATTCCGGCCCTCATCCGAAATGGCGTGCAGGAGAAGAAGCGGAGCTTCTTCGTCGTCGTTGGCGATCGCGCAAAGGATGTCATCGTCCACCTCCACTATATCATGTCGAGCGTCGACGTCAAGCAGAACAAGTCCGTGCTGTGGGCCTACAAGAAGGATTTGCTAGGATTTACGAGTCACCGGAAGAAGCGTGAGGCCAAGATTAAGAAGGAGGTTAAGCGCGGCATCAGAGAACCTAACCAGGAGGATCCGTTCGAGCTGTTCATCACCCTCAACCAAATCCGCTACGTCTACTACAAGGAGACCGAGAAGATTCTCGGTAACACCTACGGAATGTGCGTGCTTCAGGACTTCGAGGCCATGACCCCGAACTTGCTTGCCCGGACTGTTGAGACCGTTGAAGGAGGTGGTATCGTCCTGCTACTGCTGAAGGGCATGAACAGCTTGAAGCAGCTCTACACATTGTCCATGGATATCCACTCGAGATACCGCACTGAAGCCCACGACGATGTCACTGCCAGATTCAACGAGCGTTTTATCCTATCTCTTGGTAGCTGCGATTCCTGCCTGGTCGTGGATGACGAGTTGAACGTCCTGCCCATCTCCGGAGGGAAGAGCGTGAAGCCGCTGCCTCCGCCGGAGTCGATCGACGATACAAACATTGGCACAAAGAAGGAGCTGAAGGAGATCAAGGAGAGTTTGGCAGAGTCCCAGCCTATTGGCTCGCTGGTCAACTTGGCTCGCACTGTCGACCAAGCGAAGGCGCTCTTGACGTTTGCCGACGCAATCGCTGAGAAGACCCTTCGGAGCACTGTCGCGTTGACCGCTGCCAGAGGTCGCGGTAAATCCGCAGCTCTTGGTGTTGCCATTGCGGCCGCTGTGGCGCATGGTTACAGCAATATCTTCATCACCTCGCCCAGCCCTGAGAACTTGAAGACCCTCTTCGAATTCGTTTTCAAGGGCTTTGATGCCCTCGGCTACCTCGACCATGTTGACTACACCATTCTTCAGTCGACCAACCCGGACTTCAACAAGGCCATCGTCCGTGTCAACATCCACCGCCAGCACCGTCAGACCATCCAGTACATCCAGCCCCAGGATGCCCACGTCCTGGGTCAGGCTGAGCTGCTGGTGATCGATGAAGCCGCCGCCATCCCTCTCCCTCTGGTCCGCAAGCTGATGGGACCGTATCTGGTCTTCATGGCCTCTACCATTAACGGTTATGAAGGAACGGGCCGGTCCCTCTCCCTGAAGCTGATCCAGCAGCTTCGCGAGCAGTCCCGGGGAGGCGTCAAGGTCAGCGGTGAAGATGATATCGACGTTGCGGATCGTGCCACGGGCAAGGCCGCCAAGAACATCGACAAGAGCCTGGCTGGACGGTCTTTGAGGGAGATCACCCTTTCGGAACCCATCAGATACGCACCGGGTGATTCGGTGGAGAAGTGGTTGAACAAGGTCCTTTGCCTGGACGCGACCCTGCCCAAGTCCCGCATGAACACTCAGGGCACCCCTCACCCCTCGCAATGTCAATTGCTGCAAGTCAACCGTGATACCCTGTTCTCCTTCCACCCTGTTTCCGAAAAGTTCCTTCAGCAGATGATGGCTCTCTACGTTGCCAGCCACTACAAGAACACGCCTAATGATCTTCAACTCATGAGCGATGCGCCCGCGCACCAGCTGTTTGTTCTCGTTCCCCCGATTGACGAGGAAGCCACCAAGCTCCCTGAACCCCTCTGTGTCATTCAGGTTGCGCTGGAAGGTCGTATCAGCCGACAGAGTGTCCTCAACAGCCTGAGCCGCGGGCAGCGGGCGGGTGGTGATCTGATTCCATGGCTGGTCAGCCAACAATACCAGGATGAGGACTTTGCCGGTCTTTCGGGTGCCCGAATTGTCCGTATCGCCACGAACCCAGAGTACCTGAGCATGGGATACGGCTCCCGGGCTCTAGAGCTGCTCATTGACTTCTACGAGGGCAAGTTCACCAGCCTTTCCGAGGATATCCCCGAGCCGCAGGAGGAGATGGTCCGGGTGACTGACGAGGAGCTGGCCAACTCCAACCTCCTGGACGACAACGTCAAGGTCCGCGACATTCACACCATGCCCCCATTGTTCGGCAAACTGTCTGAGCGTCGCCCCGACGCTCTCGACTACGTTGGTGTCAGCTTCGGTCTCACTCCATCTCTGCACAAGTTCTGGAAGCGCTCGTCCTTCTCTCCCGTCTACCTCCGCCAGACCCCCAACGACCTGACTGGCGAGCACTCCTGCGTGATGCTGCGCACCCTGACCTCCGGCTCCAACGATGCCGCCTGGCTGGGCGCCTTCTCGCGTGACTTCCACAAGCGTTTCTCGTCTTTGCTGTCGTACCAGTTCCGCGAGTTCCCCTCCGTGCTGTCTCTCAGCATCTGCGAGTCCGCCAACTCCGGCGCCAAACTCGACCCCTCTATCTCTCAGAACCCCCTGACCAAGGCCGAGCTCGATGCCGCCTTCTCGCCCTTCGACCTCAAGCGTCTCGACAGCTACGCCAACAACCTCCTCGACTACCACGTCATCCTCGACATGGTCCCCACCATCGCCGAGTACTACTTCTCCGGCCGTCTCAGCGGCAAGGTCAGCCTGTCTGGCGTTCAGCAATCCATCCTGCTCGCCATTGGTCTGCAGCGCAAGAACCTTGACACGATCGAGAAGGAACTCACCCTCCCCTCGTCTCAGCTCCTCGCCATGTTCCTCAAGATCATCCGCAAGGTCTCCACCTACTTCCGCAACCTTATTGAAGGCGCCGTCGCCGAGACCATGCCCGCAGAGAAGGCCCCCTCCGCTCGGGTCACCACCGAGGCCCACGACGAGCTCCCCGACGAGCGCTTCAAGCCCCTGGAGACCAGCCTGGATGATGAACTCCGTGAAGGTGGTCAAGAAGTCAACGAGGAGCTTCGCGAGAAGCAGCGCGCCTTGATCGACGCTCTCCCTCTTGACAAGTTAGTCCCCCCTTCCTTCTTCCTCTCTCTTCCCTCAATAATACCCAATCATAATCATTGAATGACAATAACTGATTTACAGTCTCCAGATACGAGATCAACCACGGTAGCGCGGCATGGGAAGAAGCCGAGAAGCAGATCCGCAGCGGCGGTGCTTCCACCGTCAGCGTCAAAACTAGCAAGCAGACCAAGCGCAAGAAGGGCGAGTCGGCTCGTGAGATCTATGACCAGGAGATCGATTCCAAGAGACAGAAGATCATTAAGAAGGGGACGGAGGGGAAGAAGAAGAAGCATTAGTTATTTGCTTTCTTCAATCACATTTCTTACCTTTTTTTTTTTTTCTTCTTTCTTTTCATACTATACTTGGCTGTTCCAAGTGGAAATGTCTTTTTATGCATTGATTAGATCATGGTGTTATGTGTGTGATTTTATTCCTGAATTTTGTTTTGAATGATGTATAGTTGTATTTGTATATATGATGTGGGTGGGTTTGAAAAAGTCTTAATTGAATCTTTAGAGAGCTTATTTCTACATGAGTGTTCCAATACAAGTTTACCCGAATAGTGGAATTGAAGTAGCTGACAGTAGATGATATGTATGCTTTTGATACTCGATATGAGAAACCAGCTAGTAGTACTTATTTGACCTGATAAACACCTGTGCTAATAAACAAATTCATGCACTCCTTACGGACAATATGTTTTACAATTCGTCGTGGTCGACCGCCGGCTTCTCCTCGACGGGTTCTTCAACCACTTCCTCGACCTTCTCTTCGACCTTCTCCTCAACTACCTCTTCTACGACAACGCCATCAGGCAACTTCTGCTTCTCACCCTCACCCAGCCTGATCGCATCAATCCAAGCCTCGACACGCTCCTGGCCGTACTCTGCGCCCTCAACCGAGTCATACCGGCGCCACCAGCCACGGCGTCCATTCACAGCAACGATCTCCACCGAGTTATCCTCAGGCAGACCAAGCCCAGCGCGGAGGGTCTTAGCTCCGCTATTGATAGCCGGGACACTGTAGAACGGGAAGAGCTTGCTCTTACGGACTGCGTGCTTGTGCGAGATCTCAGCGAGACTGAGGAGGGCGTCCTTGGCCGGAGCCGGGAGCTCTGCGTCCGGCTCACTCGGTTCAGGGAGGAGAGCCAGCACACAGGTACCGGATTTCGGCATCAGACAGGCAGCCTCGAGGGCTTCCGCAGTGGGCAGGGTATCAATGGGGGGAGCCGGAATGGGCACACTGGCGGGTTTGGCCTCGTCCGAGACAACCTTGGGGTCTGGAGAAGGTTCGGTAGATTTCTTCTTGTTGTTATCGTGGGGCGCGGTCGAGCTCTTGGGTGCAGGATCCGGGTTAGGAGCAGCGGCTTGGCTGAGGAATTCGACCATGGGCTTCTTCTTCAGTTCGCCGTCGTAGACGATGGGGTCTTGGCCGCCTCCTGGGACTAGGACGAAGGTCGGGAATTCGGTGATGCCAAATTTCTCGACGGCTTCGGTTTCCTTGTTGCGGACTTGAGCGACTTGGATGGAGCCGAGGAAATCGATGGCCAGGGCGCGGAGGAGAGGGCTGGTGGTGCCTTTCTCCGTGAAGAGGATGGCCTTGGGCGACTCTTCATCCTGCGCGAGCCAGGTGTCCAGGTCCTTGTCTGTTGCGCGCTTCACGTGGTTGGGGATTCGGTCGACGACTGCCTCGACAATCGCTTTGGCACTTCGTGCGCCCTTGTAGTCTTCCACGCGGGGCTTGCCGGGTTTCTTGCCGGGGGTGACGATCTTGAGGGTAGGGAAGCCCTGGACGCCCATGCGGCCGCAGAAGGGTTTGTTGTCGTCATCGTCGCAATTGACGGCGGCGACTTTGGCCAGGCCGTCGAGATTAGTTGCGGCTTTTTCGTAGGCGGGCTTTAGGTTCTGGCAGTGGCCGCACCAGGGAGCGTAGAATCTAGAGGGAGAGCGGGGAGGTTTAGGATTGTGGGAGGTAGATGGGTAGGGTGATCGATGGCTTACTCTACGATCTAGGAGAGCTTATTAGACTTGTCTGTAGGCAATTGTAATAACCTGCACAGCTGTACTTACCGAAGTGTGATTGGAGTTTGCAATGAGCTGGTCGTAGTTCTTCTGGTTGACCTGCAAGACGGGGGACTTCTTCGTATACAATCCATCGGCGTTGACGGGCAACGCCGCCAGAAGCGACGTGACGAAAAGCAACGCAGAGCTGGGCTGCAGCATGATTGCGGGTAAGCAAAATGCGAGAGGGGATCCAAGAGTAGCAGCTAAAGCATCACCCAGCGGGGATGAATCGAGGAAGAAGAGAGGGAGAAGAGAGGACAGAAAGAAGTAGATAGAAGCAAGGTGTCCTGAAGCTCTTGGCATGTGACGCGAAATGTCTTAAGAAGTAATATTGAATTGTATGGATTTGGAATGGCGGCGGATCCGTCCGTTCGATGTTCCCCGCCATCACACCAGTCCATTGTTCATCCCCCCATGAATGGCATCCATTCTCTACGGGATTGGATTCAGTTAACTATTCTGCAAAATCCATGGCGTCGGCAATCCTGTCTTCCGGGAAGCCTCCATGAGCACGAGCTCCGTAGCTCCGGGCCCATAAGATCCTTTGTTTATGCGGAGCCCTTACCTATCTACTTAAGCGTTAGACTAGATTAGTTACTACCTGCTCCGTACTAATCGAGGGTCTCTTTCTTAGTGCTCGGAAGCCAGGCACTTCCCCGCCTCACCAATCCTCAAATTACAAACGAACATGTCCATTGCATCCCCATCTGAAGGCAAGGGCATGGCCCTTCTGCCCAGGGAGATCTTCTGGCTTGTACTGAAGCATCTCGAACCCGGCGATGTCCTCCGTTGCCGACGAGTGTGTCAGTCCTGGAACGTCGCCTTTCGAATTGGCGCCAATCTGCTTCCAATGTTAAAGAAACGATACCCATTAGCGAGAGAGGTGCGGCAATTAGACTCTGAAAGCGCAGAATCACTCGAAACGCCAGAATACGACATTCGCATATCCCAGATCTTCGATAAGGTCACGGCGAAATACGACTATCTAAGCCGAGTAACGCCCCAAACAATGCACAGGCTTAAGCTCTGCGATGACTTCGGAATCACAGGCGAGAGGAACTGGTTCCCCGTCCAGCCCTGGGAGTATCACGCTAGCCATCTCATGCAGCGCATCGATCGACCCTTCGGCGAAACCTTCTGGTCCTACGACGACGGGCTCCTAGTGTACCCAAGTGCAGACCATTCATGTCTCGTCCTGATGGACATGGAGACCGACAGGAAATTCATGGTCCCATTCATGATCGTCGGGAGAGTAATACGCCGAGTCCGGCTTCAGAAACGAGTGCTCGTCATCGAATGGGCAGAAAACAAAGCCTACCACTGGCTCAACGACAGCGACGGTGTCCACCGACACTTCGCTACCTCGTTCGACGTAAACCAGAAGGAAGATGGCTGGCGAGTTAATTTCCGTAACGAATGGAAAATCATGTTCCTCGGACATCCTCTGAGCGAGCGAGATCGGTTCTACTCCACCCATACCCAGACCCATTATGCCATCTACATCTGGCAACCCAACCGCAGCCTTTACACTGCAGACGAGGACGCCCCTATTGAGTCCCTCTCCGTATGGGACATTTCCAAACCCTCCGATTACCGACCTTCTCTAGACCCAACAGGTCGCTTGCGAGTCGAGTCCGGAGGAGGAGAAGAAGATCTCGGACCAACCATTATCACTCGCTTCGGGTTCAGAGAACTAGGCTTCTACGGCGTCCGCCAGCGAGGACTCCCAGCAATACAATCCCTCAACATCACCGACGACGATCAATCTATTGAGATCCTCGAAGGCACATGCGCGGGCCGCTCACCGCAGGTTCTCGTTCCTGATGAATGGGAATCTGAGGTGTGGGTTACGACTATCCCAATCGTTGGCGAGGGCCCGTGCCGACGACGGCGCGCTGACTTTCCGCTGCCGCCGTATCGAGGAAATTGTAGCTTGCAGACTAATCCTATCACCTTTGCTATCTGCGATGAGCCGTGGTATTCTATTGTTTGTGAGTCGTATGATGAGCAGTCTAAGGTGGGTTATTGTCTTTACTTGGAAGAACAAATATGGCCGGTCGAGACAGCTATGTTCTTGGCTGTTGGCTCACCTGAGTATGCACCCGAGCCGGCAAACGTCTTGCCCGAGAGCCTTGTAATGGAGCTCACGGCGATGGGGAAGGTTTGTGGGACAGAGGACTATCTGATAGGGCAGAGCCACAATCGTGAGCTTGTTATTTTCAGGTTTGATAGATGAGGTGATGGGTCATTACTGAGAAAATTGCATTGCATTTCTTAAGCTCACTAGATTAGGTTTTTATGAATAGTTAACGAAATGAAAAAGCGTCAGAAATACCCAGTCTCCAATAAAAGTGAAAGGGAACATAGACCACACTCTTCGTCATCCCCCATTAGGAAGAGCCAGGAAAGACCACCTCCAGCTCCTACCAGCCCAGCGCAGTAACATCCCATCCCTCCAGCAAATCCCCCACCCCCACCCCCTTACCCACAGCAGCAGCAGCAGTCAACCTACACCCCACACACTTCTCAATCCCACATCCAGGGCAGGTAAGCATGTAAAGCGGCTGTCGAAGATGGCACCCTTTACACTTGTCCCGGCCAAATCTCTTCTCCCAACCGCCCAGGTGGAGGCAAGCCGATGTGTCTTGCTGCTCCTTGGTGAGCGGCTTCGCCTCCGGGAACGTGAGGCGGACACATTCTAGCCAACCGCAGTACATGTCGAAGACCATGCCAGTTAGCTCGAAAACGAAGTCCTGGCTTGTGTAGCTGTTGCCTGGGTCGTCGAGTTTTGAGTAGAAGTGGAAGAGGAGCGGGTCGCCGTTGTTGATGTTAGCGGTCGCGTTGAGTTTGATGGAGGGGGAGGTGAGTGAGGGCATGACAGAGGGGGAGGAAGGAGGATTGATAGAACTGGGTGAGAAGATGCTTGAGTCGGTTGGCTGGGGCTTGTTGCTCATATAATGAGTGACACAGACACCGCCAGCTTCGTCCAGGACAGATTCATCATCCGATTCTCTAGCACATTTGGCGGTCACGTACTCGGTGCTGTCAGAGCAGCTCGAGGCAGGCTGTTCGCTCGCAGTGTGAGAGAATTTGAAGAAATAAATGTCTGCTCCGTTGTTATGGCCGCCATCGTCGTAGCAATCGTCCTCCTCATCGGAGTGATAGTACCCGTCATCTTCGTAGCGATCCACATCATAGGAATTGCCGTGGTGTTGAGTAGGTGCTCCTGCTCCTGGGCCTTGGGGCTGCTCATCATCTTCGTCCTCGTCCTCAAAATCGTCATTCTGGTTCTCTCCACGGCGGTCGTCATCTTCTTCTTCGTCATCTTCTTCGTCATCCTCTTCATCTTCCTCTTCATCGCCTTCATCCTCACCTTCATCCTCGTCTCCACCGTAGTAGACGGCGTCGTCTTCGTTGCAGTAAAAGTTTTCGTGCCACTCTCTGGGAACATCGGGCCCAGCCTCTTGGGATCTCCAGCAATATTCATTGCCGTAGCCACGAGCAAACTCTTTCTCATCATGTTCGAACTCTTCTTCGTCCTCCCCATTCCTCAGCCTCTCTTCATCCTTATCGACATTGGCCTTCATCGCCATCTTTCTCTTTTCCACACTGGCAGCTTCCTGATTGCGAAGATACTCCAGGATGTCCTGAAAATGCTGGGGTTTCTCAAATAGAACGCCACCGTCGTCCTCAACTCCTTCATCTTCCTCACCGTCATCATCTCCATTCTCACTTCTCATACCACCCGCAGCCGCAGCAGCTTCCGCGGCCTCCACCTCTCTCTTCAACTGTTCACCTACTCTTATCTCAATCTCCACGCGAGCTTTCTCTACCAGAGACTCAGGAGCGAATGGATCCATATGAACACTATGGCCGTACTTGTACTTGTACAGTTCCATAGGATCGGTGAGATCGCAGTATCGCTTCCCGCTCGTAGGTCTCCAAGTTCCTTCTTCCCAGTCTTCGTACTCGTCGTCAGATGCAAACGGGGTTGAACGAAAATAGTATCCAGCTCGACGAAGGCTATCGTCGTGCTCTTGCTTCCGGATGGGATCGCGGAGGGTTTCGATGGCTTCTTGGATCTGCAGTATCGTGAGATTCAGCTTGCTTTATTGCTCAGAGGATTGTGTGATAATGATGGTCATCCGAGGGCATGAGGGATGGATTTGCATTGTGAGGTTCAGGTCATCATTCTTTTTGATTCACTCACCTTCTGGAACTCATCGTTAGAGACATCTGCACTGCCGGTGCCTTGCTTGTCCGGGTGATGCTTCAGTGCGAGCTTCTTGTACGCGCTGTTGATGTCCTTTAGAGTTGAGTTATGAGAAATACCCAGGATCGAGTAGTAGTTGGTCACGCGTGCAGCGGAATACATCTTGATCAAATGACTTGATTCCTGAGGTTTGTAGTAAATGTGCAGTATTGGGGATTCAAGAAGGCGTAGGCGTGAGGGGAAAGTGACGGGCGTCGCAGGCAGGTGCAGGGAGAGGAAACAAACGCCGAGAGGGGAGTGTTGAGAGTCCGGACACATTTGGGAAGTTAAGCAGTGAATGGAAGGGACTTCCCCCACATATGTGAAGTTCAGAGTGCGTGAATGCAAACGTGTTGAAGTGACGGGAAATTCCCGTTTGATATTCCCGCCTATGTTGTGTAATGACAGCAGCAATTCATTCACACTACCAATCGATCGGTCATGAGAACATAGGAAAGCAAGGACAAAGAAAAGATAGTGATAGATTTTACAGGCTGACAAGCATCTAGGTATTTATGAGTAAGTCTACACACATGGCGACTCCTCCCCACACAAGCTTCATGGAAGCTTTTACATGTCCGCACTGGCGGTGGCACCAGTGATAATCTCAACCAGTTCACCGGTAATGGCGGCTTGACGCTGACGGTTGTACAAGATCTGGAACCTACACGGGATTAGTCTTGAAGCGTGTAATTGTGTGACTTTTGGAACTTACTTGTTGATCATCTCACCAGCGTTCTTGGAGGCGTTCTGTAGAACATGGTTAGTCTGGGTTCATTTCAAATATCTGAATGATACTTGCCTCCATGGCGTTACGACGAGCCTGTAATCACATTAGTTAATTACTCCAAGTCAATGGGTACTTTAAGCTGGAAAACTTACGGAGATTTCGCAAGCGTGACCCTCAGCCATAGCCCAGAAGAGGTTGTTGGCAAGGGCGTATTCACGGAGGTGGGCCAGAGTCTGGTCATCAGTCTCGAAAGTAGAGAGGTTGGCTAGAGCAGAGAGTTCAGTTTCGATACGCGCAAAACACATTACAGCTGGTATAACTCACGAGACTGGGTGATAGCCTCCTCAGAGTAAGCCTCAACGGTGCCGGCCTCATAAGACTGGGCGTTGATGAACTGGTTGTAGATGATCTTGACGCTGGCGTAGTCGGTGGGCAGCTGGGAGATCTGGTCGGCGATGGACTGAGCGTCGTTGAAGGTGGGGATGTCCTTGCAGACGTTGGCGAAGCTCAGGACGATGGCGTTGGGGTTGGTACGAGACAGCTGAGCCTTGGCCTTCTCACCGAGGACGACGATGTCGGCATCGGGGTACTGCTGGAGCATGCGACGAGTGGCCTTGCTGAGACCGGAGTGGATACCACCGCAAAGACCCTTGTCGGAGCTGGCGACGACGAGCAGAGTCTTCTTGTCCTCGAGAGGCTTGGTCTCGGCGTTCTCGAAAACGGTGTTGGAGGTCTGACCGTAGGCGCGAGAGTCCTCCATGGCCTTCTGGGCGCGAGTAAGACGGGTGGAGGCGATGACCTTCATGGTGTTGGTGATCTTCTCGATGTTCTTGATGGACTTGAGACGGCCCTCGATTTCACGCAGAGTCGCGAAGTTGGCGGCATTGGGAGGAGCAGTGCTTCGAAAAAATCAGCCATTGAACCATTCTGTTGGTGTGCTTGTAGCTCCATCTCCTCTTTGTCCTGTCTGTTAAATGGATTGGTGGATTGGGGTGGTGGGAGCCAGCTGGACAGCCTAGCTGGGGCAGTGGGAGGGAAACGAAAAGGCGACGGACGGGCGGGTGTTGTGGACATTCCGGAAGAGAAGAACTTACCGGGAGACCGCAATGCTACCAGCCCTCACAGCCGGACGAACAGCACGGGAGAACATATTGCAAAGAAGCCGTACGGTCGAAAAGACCAACGATAAACAATCGTAGAGGGGATAGTGTGGGGAGAGGGGGGAAGGAGGAAGAGGGTAGAGGAATCCTCGTAGGCTGGCGGTTGAGAAGTCGGTGGTTGAAGTTGGACTCCTGTTTCTGTTCTTCCGACAGCCGGCAGCACGGGACCCAACCGCGCTAGTCCCAAACTGGCAGGGGTGGTGGTGAAATGGCTGGTGGTCCGGGTGTCCGGGTGTCCACAGCGACCAGCCGTGCAACCCGGTCGGGCGTGCGCGGCGCTAAGCCCAAACGGGCAGCTCTGGAGGTGCCAGGCACATCAGGTGACCTGGCTGCGCGCAGGCTTACGTCGGCTGAGTCAGCAGCGCCACTCAGGCATGCAGGCACCGAGGCGCCCGGAATCGAAATGGAGTCGTCATAATTTCCATACAAACTTCCAGACCCGGCAGCCTTGGCACCTCAGGCTGCCAGCCTCCTCGCACGGCGAGTGGCTGACGGTCCGGAGAAACGTGAAGATCGCCTCAGGCCCCAAAAGACGGCCTCGTTTTCCATTCCATTCCTTCTTCTCTTCTTCCTCTCTTTCCTCTCTTTCCTCTCTCTTCTCTCTCTTTTCGTTTCCCTGTTCTTCCCTTTCGTCCGTCATCTTTGGCTCTGCTGTCTCTTTTTCTCTCTCCTCCTCCCTTCCACCTTCAGCTTCCTCTCCTCTCCGCTCTTCCCGCTTGAGTCTCTTTTCCACCCTCCCCTCTCCGGTTTCTCGTTTTCCTTCCGTCTTTCCCTATTCGGTCTATGTCTGTCTCTCCCTTCTAGTAGACGCTTTCTCGTTGCCCTTAGCCTTCCCATTGGCCAGGCTGCCGTTGCTTTCATCACTCCTTCAAGCGCCAGCTCCGATCTGCAGACTCGCCCTCTCTCGCGCGCGCCCCTGCGCTCTCCCACCCCGGCTTTGCCTGTCTACTCGCTCCTTGGGCCCACGCGCTATTTCTTTCAATCGCTGGGCAACCATGAGCTCCTCGGAAGACGATACCCCACTTGTCCAGGCAAATGGTCGCCGTATCAGTGAGTGTTACTTCCTCTCTTTGCTCTCACCTGACCCTTTCCCGCCTCTCTTTTACGCCTCAGTTACCCTTCACTTCCCTTTGTTTGGGGTCAAATTTGCGACTCAATCCCCTCTTTTTGCGCATCGATATCTATAAATCCTCGTGAATGCGATAAGTCTTACACTTCCTCTTGTTGTTTTCAAGGTTCCCACACGGACTCGAAAATGCGCGACGCGACGGAAACAAATGGCCATGTTGACCCAGGCGTATCCATCCGCTTTGGTCCCGTTCAGGCCGAAAATGATATTGACATGGCGGATGCCGACGCTGCCGCCGTTCCCAAGCGGAAGTCGCGCTCAAGCGTCGGTCAGAGAAAGTCTTACGCCGAACCTGAGAGCAGTGAGGAGGATGATCAACCCTTGGTACGCCAATTATCTCCACGCCAGTTCCTTCGTTCCCCCTATCCTTGCGACGCTATTGCTGTCGCTGTTCGTTCCAGCGGCTGACCAGTCGACAGAGCAAGCGACGCCGCACTTCCGTGAAGCACGAGGACCCCGAAACGGACGATGATGTACCTTTGGCGCTCAATGGAAGAAAGCTTCCCAAGGCGTCGGAAACGGCTATAGGCGAAGAATTTGATTCCGACGTGCCCATCGAAAGAAAACTCGCCTCTCAGAAGAAGAAGATCCAGCAGAAGGCAGAGAAGGATGCGAAAGTGACCCGCAAGCCAGCTCCTCCAAAGACTACGAAGACCGCAGCAGCCAAGAGGCAGACCAATGGCGTGAAAAAAGAGCCCGAGGATGTGAAGCCTTCGACCGTCAAGAAGACGGCCAAGCCGACCAAGGCCAGTGACAAGGCTGCATTGTCCTCGCAGGTGAAGCGGGCTGCCTCTAGCGCCAAGTCGACCCCCGTCAAAAAGGAAGAGAGCGAGGAGGCTGAAGACGCCGATGAAGAAGAGTACAGATGGTGGGAAGACCCGACCAAGGGTGATGGTACGATTAAGTGGACGACACTCGAACACAACGGCGTGGTTTTCCCTCCTCCGTACGAGCCACTCCCCAAGAACGTCAAGATGAAGTATGATGGCATCCCTGTCACTCTCCATCCTGATGCTGAAGAGGTGGCCGGCTTCTTCGGCGGCATGCTCAATGCGACTCAGCATGTTGAGAATCCCACTTTCCAGAAGAACTTCTTCATGGATTTCCGCGATATTCTCAAGAAGACCGGTGGCGCAAAGGATCCCAAGGGCAATAAAGTGGACATTAAGGACTTTCACAAATGCGACTTCCAGCCGATCTTTGCCTACTACGACAATCAACGTCAAGAGAAGAAGGCTTTGCCTCCGGCTGAGAAGAAGCGTCTGAAGGCTGAGAAGGACGCTCAAGAGGCCCCTTACATGTTCTGTATGTGGGACGGACGGAAGCAGAAAGTGGGCAACTTCCGAGTGGAACCGCCTGCTCTCTTCCGTGGACGTGGTGAGCACCCCAAAACTGGCCGCGTGAAGTCTCGCGTTCAGCCGGAGCAAATCACCATCAACATCGGCAAGGATGCGCCTGTCCCGCCTCCTCCGGAGGGCCACAAGTGGAAAGAGGTCAAACATGATCAAGAAGGCACATGGCTTGCCATGTGGCAGGAAAACATTAACGGCAACTACAAGTATGTCATGCTCGCGGCCAACTCTGACGTCAAGGGCCAGAGTGATTACAAGAAATTCGAGAAGGCTCGTGAATTGAAGCATCACATTGGTCGAATCCGCAAGGATTACCAGAAGAACCTCAAGCACGAGCTGATGGTCGAACGGCAAAAGGCCACGGCAGTGTACCTTATTGACCAGTTTGCTCTTCGTGCTGGTAACGAGAAGGGTGAAGACGAAGCTGAGACTGTGGGGTGCTGCTCGCTCAAATACGAGAACGTCACTCTCAAGCCTCCAAACAAGGTCGTCTTTGATTTCTTGGGTAAGGACAGTATTCGCTTCTATGATGAGGTCGAGGTCGACGCGCAGGTCTTCAAGAACCTCAAGATCTTCAAGAAAGCACCCAAGAAGGAGGGCGACGAAATCTTCGATCGACTGACTGTATGTACTCCGGTTCGCTCTTTAATGGCACTGCTAACAAACACGCCTAGACTTCCGCCCTCAACAAGCACTTGTCGGCCTACATGCAAGGTCTGACGGCAAAGGTGTTCCGTACCTACAACGCTTCCCACACTATGTCTACGCTGTTGAAGGACATGAAGGCGACGGGTAACATTGCAGAGAAGGTGAAAGCGTACAATGACGCCAATCGCAAGGTCGCCATTCTCTGTAACCATAAGCGAACTGTGGCTGCATCCCATGCCAATCAGATGGAAAAGATGAGTGAAAGGGTAAGTTGGCCTGCGGTGAACTCTACAACTGGGACGTATTGCTCATGTCTATTTTTTAAAACATTTTTAGATCAAGGGACTACGGTACCAAAGATGGCGTCTAAAGCAACAGATGCTCGATCTCGAGCCTAGCTTGAAGAAGAAGAAGGGCGCCAAGTACTTCGAGATGGACGAAGATATGGACCTCGAATGGGTGAAGGAGCACCAGGCCTTCCTTGTGGAAGAGCAGCGCCAGAAAATCCAGAAGAAGTTCGAAAAGGACAATGAAAAGCTTGCTGCAGAAGGCGAGAAGGAAATGAAGGCCACTGAGCTGGAGAGCCGTCTCCAGGCAGCGAAGGATCTGGAGAAAAAGTTCAACAAGGAGAACAAAACCGGAAAGGTGGAAGCCGAAGGCAAGGCCCCGACTGTCGATAAGATTGAGGCCGCGATCACCAAGCTCGAGCAGCGCATTGAGACGATGGAGCTTCAAGCTCAGGATAAGGAAGAGAATAAGGAGGTCGCTCTGGGAACCTCGAAGATTGTAAGTTTCTGTCCCTTGCTCTGGCCGATGGTTCTTGATCGACTAACACTACATAGAACTACATCGACCCTCGTCTTACTGTGGTTTTCAGCAAGAAGTTTGATGTTCCTATCGAGAAGTTCTTCTCCAAGTCCCTCCGGGAGAAGTTCGAATGGGCCATCAAGTCGGTCGACGAGGATTGGGAATTTTAAGATTCCCTCGACCGCGTCGCAACTAACTTCGACAATCTTTCCCGCTCGATCCATTGATCTTGACTCCGGATGCAGAGTGTTTCCTTGATTTATTTTCCTCTATTATATTCTTCGGCTACATCGGTGGTGAAACGGATTGTCTTACGCATAATGCATTTTGGAGCCTTATATTATTGTTCTTTCTCCTAGTTCTCCCTCTTTTTCTTTGCTTGCCACATCTATCTCCCAAAAGCCACCCCTACCTTCTTGTCGCTGTACACTCCGCCTCAATTTATTGTCTCGATTCATTACGATGAACATGCAAGAGGGCCCATACACAGCATCACCAGTTTGCTCGCCACCTCTGGTCTTGGTTCTCGCTACGTCTTGGAAATTTTCCCCCTCGTTTCAAGTTTTAGCCTCCCATTGACCCTACAGATGAAGATAAGAAGAATAAACGAAAAGAAAAGAGTTATACACCCGGGAAACTCTATACATCTATCAATATATTATCAATATATACAGATTTACACTTAAGGCATTTATTTGGAGACCATAGTAGTAACATGTAATAACGAGTTTAGCCAAGATGAACGACCAGATATGACTCATGATAGCTAAGAGCTCATTCAAACTTCTGTAACATGAATTAAACAAAATCCTGTCATCTTAAGTGTAATTCTTCGCCTTTGAGATCAGTATTAATCTACCTATCAGATTATTCTTGTTTGTAGGGTGCAGTAGTAGTAGTAACAGTTGGCGAACAACTTCATTGTATAGTAGCTTTGATTAATGCTACCATGCTACCATGCTACCAGAAAGACCCGTTGCAAATCATGTGATATAAGGAATAGGTAGATATATGATGGCGCTATATTCTGGTTCTGGACGCTAAAATTCAATATAGATGGGTTCTGAACGCTAGCGATCGGCATACCACACTTATAGCAAACATCAAGAGTTCTGTCATGCCTCGTGGAGGTGGAGAAAAAGTGAAGGGTACAGGGAACATATCAGAGTTGAGGGTGAGAGGAGAAAGGGTGAGAGGGGAGTGGGTGGGCATGCATCCAAAGTACGCAGGTGAGACAAGCTGGATTATGTGGGTAATGATAAAAGACGACCATGAGGGATGGCAGTCTGTGGTTCACATTCGAGGACAAGGCTCAACCTATCCATAGTGTATGTAATGTGACACATAAAAAAAAGATAAAAGTAGTCTAGATGTGCATGATGTTCATAATCAAAAAGGCACACCATCCAGCCCCAGCCAGTGACAGAAGAAATATAAATGCAAGAAGGATATAGAACATACCAGTTGCTCAAGAACGGAAACCCAGAGACCCAAACAGAATATTACAGATTACATGCAGAAACGGTCCGTGGTATACAACATGCGAACTTGAGATGAGTGGATGCGGATGCGACAGGTCTATGTGCTTTTTTGCCCGAGGGTAAGGTCGAGTCAGTTGTGTTCTGAGGGGCAATTCGTGGTCATGCACGGTGGGAGTAGAACAGCTCTCATATACGTCATCAACCTCGCTGATATGCTCGTATAGAGGTCGGGTCGAGAACATGGGAATAGCAATATCACGTGTTGGGTCGTCTATGGCCACCAGCCCATTCGCTTGTAACTGTCAACCATATCTCGTACGGCATCAGCGTTGAAGCGCTCTCGGGATGGCTTCCACCCAGTGGTCGTCTCGAATAGCGTCCCATCCAGACACATGTCTTGGTCCTTCAGCACATCCTTTTCCAGGAACGGGCCAATGGGCCCAGGCCGTTCAATCTTCTTCTCTTCGAGCAAATCAGCCCACCCCTGTAAGCATTCCTCGTTCATGTCATCTACAACATCGTCGAGGTTCAGTTTCGCAAACTGGGAAGCTAGAGAACCCAAAAAGTCACACTTGAGCTTGAAGACCTCGGACAGAGCCTGTGCGATATCTTCCTGACGAGTATTGCCGTGGTCGACCACGTTGAATGCAAGGGGCGCTGAACCGTCCGTGGGAGCGCTTGCTCTCCATTCAGCCGCTTTCCACAAGGCGCTGGCCGCGTCCCTGACATATACGGTGTTGATCTTCAGATCCTTAGTGTAAAGAAGCTCCAGATCCTTCTCCAGCTCCAGGTGAACGCGAGCAAGGCAGATTCCCATTGCGAAGTAGCCCGAGTCGTATTCTCCGTAGACGTGGGGCAGACGAAGCAAGCAGTAGTTAAGACCTGGAATCTTTTGCAGCTCCTCGCTGGCCTTCATCTTCCACTTGGCCAGCTTGTGCCACGGCTGCAGCTTGTCATCTTCCTTACGCGGACTTGAGCCGCCCTTGTAGACGTGAGCGGTTGAGCACTCAACGAAAGAGCGGATACCTCGGCGGGCGACTTCGCGACCCAGGGCGACAGTGAGGGCGTAGCTGCGGACTTCGTAGACGTCATCGGGTTGCGAATGCCTGGTTTCCCCTCCACAGTTGATCACATAATCAAATTGTTCACCATTGGCACGGTCAAAGATACGAGGGAAGTGCTCTGAGTTTCAAGGCGCAAGTTAGGGGAAAAAAATAAAGAAATTCTCCTGGTCGGCTAGGACAATAGGTTTTGGGCACTCACGTTCACGGCTGGCATCAGCCTGGACGAATTTATCTTTTGAGCAAGCTTCCTGGAACTCAGGGGCCAACCACGCCAGCTGAGGCAGGACCTTGTCAACTAGTCGGACTTCCGAGGCCAAGTTATTTTCATGCAGGTAGAGAGCTAGATGGCGACCGATAAATCCTAGAAGATAGAAACCCGTATGTTAGCGAGGATAACCTGAATATCGGGGAGGGGGTAGGAGGGGGGATGCATACCTAAACCACCAACGATCAGGACGGCCGGCTTCTTGCTCTGTTCGTCGGCCATTGTGGGAGGAAAAGGGTAAAGTAATGAGATTGAAACCAAGATAGGACCACTCTGTGGTACTTTCTCTTCTAGTAGCCTCGATGCGATCTGTGGACTGCTGGCTGTATTGACACCCCGCACCCGAGCGCGAACAAAATCGAAGAATGCGGGGAGGAAAAGGGGGAGGGGAAGCAGAGAGGATCACCAAGTAAGGGACAAGAAAGGAGCTCGGAGGCAGTTAATCTGATGTATTTACCGACGGCAGGAAGTCACCGAAAGGTTTGAGTTAAATTCCACACGGAGGTCTTAAAGGGGAGGAAGAAAAGGAGGAAGCGGGAGGAAGAATGGGAAGAAGTAAGAGGAGAGAAGAGGAGGAGGAGGAGCAGGAGGAGCAGAGGATGATCCTTTTCCGGGATTAAAACCATTTATCAGAATCACCTGCTCTCGCTCAGATCAACTTCAGTCCCAGTCCCAGTTTCAGTCCACTCTCCTCCTTCAGGAATCTCGTCATACACTCCCTCCAAGCTAGGTAGATAAAGAAACGAGCTAACAAATCATAGTCATAGCCTTAAACCTGTCATGGCTTGACCATGGCTGCACTACACTGTCCACTATCGTCCCCGGCTGAGACAGGTGCCCTCTTTTGACACTCCCCAGAAGTCGGAAACGATGATGCTCTTGTTGCTGGTACCCATCCTCCCTTCCTCTTATCTGACGGCTAAAATGGTCTCCTACTCTCAAGGAGAAACTTAGAACTAACTCACCGAGGGTGCCAGATGGCGAATGCACTTAACTGACTATAACCGGCCTCAGGTAACCCCTCCCTACACACTATCCTTCAAATGGCAATATTACAACGTTAGCTCTGGCTCAACTCCTCATTTACTATAACCAAGCTCCATCCTTCGTTATCATCGTCACCCTTGATTTCCCGGAGTCTAAAAAAACATAATTACCGCGGATAACGCTGGACGACCGGAAGCGCAAGTGAAAGTCTTCCTTACGAACCCAAGCGTATGCCGAACGAACTCCGCTAGCGCTGCGTCTAGAAATTTCGCCAGCACGGTGGATGTTCCCGCTTGATTATTCCCTCGTACAGTAGTGGAAAATTTAGAGTCCTCGGGAGACCCGACCAGAGCCGACAAATTAATTCTTCATCTCCTCCCCTGCCAAGCGCGCGTTGTGGGACGTTTTCCGTTCTTCAGGGACACCGTCCGATCATAGTCCCGCCGCTTAAGTGGGTAGCAGGAGGCCTAAGAGGCTAAGAGGCTTAGAGGGTAGGGGGGTGGTGGAGGAACAAAGAGAGGAGGTACTGCAGGAAGATTCGAAAGACGCGAATCCCTTCGGAACATGAAAGGTCCAGAATAAGCAGACGATCACTCGCCACCACAACAGGGCGGACGTATCATTCCTAAAGCCCGAAAAGTGATCGCGACACGGCCAGAAGGAAGCAGCGCGAAGGCAAGTGTGTGATCACCTACAGGGAATAATCAAATGATCTGCGTCTCATATTACGAGTCAGGGCTGGTGGGGAATCGTTCCAAGATCATTAATATTATTGTGCGTCGCGCAGTTAGTTCCTTTCCTGCGCATAGCTTCGGCATCTGACTATTTCCAAGCACACCCTGGTTGATTGGGAAAGGTCAAAGCCAAAGACGCTCACTGTCACCTCCAGAAAAGCATCTAAGCACTGCTCTCCTTCCACCATTGCCGGCGATTATTCCCGGCAGTGACAAGCCCGGTGGTCGAAATGTAAAAGCGGGCGCTATTGACTTTGATTCCAAGTTTTACGGACAAGAGAGAGCCTAGTCGGCGCGCGATTCCAAATGCGCTTCGTGCTTTCGTCTGCGAATGGATCTTTTTTCTCGACGGGGTTATCATGGCTCGCCCCATATCCTACCCAATTGAGACAAGCCAAGCTCTACGGCAATGCTGGCCTATTCGATTCTAGCATAGCATCTGCTATAACGCCGCCAATAATGATGCTGAAGATGATGCGAATGGTTCTACATGTCATTGCCGACAATGAGGTCGGTGTACAATGTCCACGTAAACCCCCCAATCCTTCAGAAAGGATCGGAGATGCCTCGGCATTTGCAAATACTTACTTATTTGGTCAAAGGGAAATAAGGAAGGAAGGGAATTGACGTCAAAAGCCTGCCGTTAATTCTCCGACCTTTTCCTTTTTTTCTTCTTCCCCAGGCGATATGCTTCGCTGTACCATGGACCGTGGCCGATCGTCAGCCCGTGGTTCGTGCTGGACTTAGCTATCCTACGCTACTGCCGTGCACTTCATGCAACTAAAGGAGTAGCTGGAATTCTAAAACAAACCTGGCCACCACACCATCATTATGCTATGCACATGGTTGCTTGCCCGCTTCCAGACTAAGGCATCTTTCCTCACCACATATCTATCCGTGTTATGGCTTTTCTGAAAGAGGACAATAACATGTGACAACAATGTGCTACCGGAAAAAGAATCCCCACCAATACCATGATACACCTGGTGACACTGACTTCAATACATAACTCTGGGGTAAGTTATAATCAGTAGGAGTGGCGGGATCAAATCATGTTAATCTCACAATTGTACCCACAACGGGGAAATCTTCTCTTTCTTTGCCGAAAGCCTTGTACTTTAAGATGGTTAACATTTCCACTTTCGAGTAGTTGCCACTAGTCATACCTCTACGGGATTTGATACTATCTCATTCACGGGATTTGCCAGCTTCTGGATTCAAGTT